CGGACACTGAGTTGCACTGAGCCCTCCAAGGGACCCCAGCTGGCCGTGCAGATGGGCAGATGGTCAACACTAAACAGGTCTATGAGTCAACTAGAAATAGTCATGCTCTCATCGCAAATATCATTAATATTTTCTGATACTGGAAAGGAGAGTAAAAGGCATTCATTCAGGCTTACACAATTTCTCTGGGATGTCAGCTCTTAATTTGATTAATACTGCACACAGAGAACAATAAAAATAAGTAATCAAGTGACACAGACAGCAAACCAAACCACAACCAAACAAGTGACAACACAAAATATGAAGGGAAGTAAAACATCAAGTGGCTGGTGATGGGTATTTTAAATGAGTGTTTAGGACCCACGCTGCGCAAATACAACAGAGCCCTGTAGAAACAGGCTAGTTTCAGAGCGAGAGAGAGAGAGAGTGTGTGTGTGAATGGGAGCCCTCTGCAGAGCTGGAACCAGGGGTGAAAGTGAGCCGGTACAGGCTGGTACGGCGTACCGGTAAGAACCCGCTCCTGCCATATGCGGCCCACATTAAAGCACTGCAGCAGGAAAAGACCCAGCAGTGCTTTAATGTCCCTGCCCCTTTTGTCCCCCCTCAGCCACCGAGCGGGGGGGGGGGGGAATTTGCAAAGGGAGCAGCTGCCCCGAGGCTGGATTTAAAAGGGCCCGGGGGCTCCGGATGCTGCGTCCGGAGCCCTGGGCCCTTTAAATCACCACTGGAGTCCCAGGAGGCGTGGGCCTAGGGGCCTGGAAGGACTGGCTGGGAGATGCTGACCCCCCCCAACCCCATCCCTTCTGCCCGAGGCCCCTTCCCTTCCCGGGGCCAGAGCCGGCCCGGGCCCCATACCAGTCAGTGTCCGGAGTTACTTTCACCTCTGGCTTATAGAAAAGATCTGGCCTTCACGGTTTCCAATACCTCTCCCCAAACAAATTCTAAAACTTAAGGGGAATCACTTGTTTGGAATCCAACTCTAACTGAAAGGCCAAACAAATAAACAGCACCCATGGTAAAGTTCTTCCAATTTTAACAATTTACCATGTATTCATTAGTAACCCAGGATATTTTTTAAAAAAAATCATTAGGATCACAGTTGTCAGCTATCTACAACACTCCAAAAGAATTCCGTTGTTAAAAGAACCCTTTTCTTTCTTCCCTTAAGCCTCCTACGTAAACTTTGTTTGAAATGCAACTGTGCCAATGTCAGGTTTCAGAGGAACAGCCGTGTTAGTCTGTATTCGCAAAAAGAAAAGGAGTACTTGTGGCACCTTAGAGACTAGTCTCTAAGGTGCCACAAGTACTCCTTTTCTTTTTTCCTTGTGCCAATGTCATGAGCCTGGCCTAGCCACATGCTTTTGCTCCAGTATTAATTCACTGACGCCCCAATCCTGCGGAGACCTTTGCATGAGAGCCCTCCGCATGCAGCACTGGTTGCAGGATCAGTATCTAAGACAGAGTAAATAGCATGAAAGCAGCTGCTTAAAGTGACACCAATCAACATAAAATCCCAGATTTCTTTTACCCTTGGCCTGCTGTACTTTATCCATAAGATCACTCCCATGTAGCCACATCCCCCCCATACCCCAAAATGCCAGCAACTCACCAGAAATCTTGGCACCCCCTGCAAAGCCTGCTCCCTCCCACCTCCCGCAGCCTACTCATCCAACCTAACCACGAACTCCCCAACCCCCCTCAGCCCACTGACCCCCACCTACTCCCTATTTCTCCCATCACTTCTTCCTCCACCTCTGCTCCAGGGTCCAGGTCAGGAGGCACCTAATTAGTGAAGCCAGCCTGCAGGGCTCTACTAATTAGGTGCGAGGCCCTGCATTCCCTCTTTGTCCCCCCACACCCAAGGATTATGTTTTACTGTATTGAGTTCAGAAGTCAAACAAGTATTTGAAAGTGAAACCACACATTAAATTACAACTGCCAGCCTATTTAACAATTCCATGATAAAGACGACACCAATGCTTGTATAACACCGACAAGTTTGAATCTGCTGAATATGTAATTAGAGCAGGATCAAACTCTATTTACATAAACACACGCAAAGTCTCTTCCCCGCCCAGCTAGCTGTCAGGGAAGCATTCATTCAGACCCTGCTTACAAAAGTGTAAACCCATTTGTAGACACTTACATTGGTTTACACGTAGCTTACATCGATTACAGGACTTGGTCCAGGTGTTTTATATCGTTGTAACTTAATTTGGTAAGGGATCTATTTAAACTAAATCGATATAAGACTAAATTAGTCTTGCTGGAGGTGTGACTAGAGGATCATAGTGATGTCAGGCTGGAAGGGATCTTGAGATGTCATCTAGTCTTTCCCCCTGCACTGAGACAGGACCAAGTAGACCTCGAACATCCCTGGCAGGTGTTTGTCCAACCTGGTCTTAAAAACCTCCAATAACGGGGATTCCACAACTTCCCTAGGTAACCAGTTTGATACTTAACTGTCCTTAGAGTTAGAAAGTTTCTCCTAATGTCTAACCTCAATCTCGCGTGCTGCACACTGAGCCCATCACTTTTTGTCCTACCCTTGCTGGACCTGGGGAACAATTGACCACTGTCCTCTCTGCAGCAGCCTTTTGCATATTTGCAGACCATCAGGTCCCCGCTCAGCCTTCTCTTCTGTGGACGAAACATGGCCAGTTTTTCAACCTTTCCTCATAGGTCTTATTTGCTAAACCTCTCATAGTTTGTGCTGCTCTTGTCTGGACTCTCTCCAATTTGTTCACATCTTTCTTAAAGTGTGGTGCCCAGAATTGGATACAAGTCCTCCAGCTGAGGCCTCCCCAGTGCCATATAGAGTGCAACAATTACCTACTGTATCTTACAGCCAGCACTCCCATTAGTACATCCACGCATGGCATTTGCCTTTTTCGCAACAGCATCACAGTGTTGACTCATATACCATTTATGATCCACTCTAAATTCCAGATCCTTTTCTGAAGTTCTGCTGCCCAGCCAGTTATTCCTCAGTTTATGTTTGTGCATTTGATGTTTCCTTCCAGAATATAATGCTTGGCATTTGCCTTTACTGAATTTCATCGTGTTGATTTCAGACCAATTCTCCAATTTGTAAAGGTCATTTTGAATTCTAATCCTGTCCTCTCAAGTGCTGGCCACCCCTCCCAGCTTGGTGTCATCTGCACATCTTAGAAGCATACTCTCCAACTCCATGGTCCCTCTCCATTATCCAAGTCGTTAATGAAAATATGGAAGAGTATGAGACCTAGGACAGAGCCCTATGGGACCCCCAATAGGTCCTCTCATTTGACAGCAAACCATTGATAACTTCTCTTTGAGAACCCACCTTATAGTAATTTCATGTAGACCATATCTCCTTTGCTTATGAGACTGTCATGTGGAACTGTGTCAAAAGCCTTAATAAAGTCTAGATATAACACACCTACTACTTTCTGCCATCCACTGGGCTGGTTATGCCATCAAAGAAGGAAATCAGATTGATTTGGCATGATCTGTTCATGACAAACCCACGTTGGCTGTTTCTCATAACCCTATTATCTTCTAGGATTGAACAAATTGAGCATGTAATAATTTGTTCCAGTATCTTTCTGGGTATTGAAATTAGGCAGGCTGGTCTCTAATTCCCTTGATCTTCCTTTTTTCAGATAGGCAAACATAGCGCCTTTCTCCAGTCCTCTGTCCTCCAGTCTCCAATCCTCCATACGTTCTTGAAGATACTTGCTAATGGTTCCAAGATTGCTTCAGCTGGTTTCTATGGTGAAAATTCTTCAGGACCCACAAACTTAGATGTATTTAACTTACCTAAATATTCTTTAATCTGTTCTTTCCCTATTTTGGTCTGAGATCCTTTCCCCTTGTTGTTAATATTAAGCATCTGGTCACAATGAACCATTTTGGTAAAGACCTGAAGCAAAATAGGTATCCCACATGTGAGCCTTCAGAAGCAGTCGTGCAGGTTAGATTTTTTTCATTGAAATCTGGCTTTTCAAGGGAAGTGGAAAATGTGGTGGGAAATTTTTCATCCCTTTGAAATTTTTCAGTTTTTTGATTAAACTGAATGACAAATTGTTAAAGTTTTTAAATCAAAAAATGCTTTTGTGAGTCTTGGTTTCTGAAAAAAGTGAAACAAACTTGGAATTTGGGGTGGGTTTGCTCAGTTTTCTTTCTCCCCCCCCCACCTCCATTTTCCAATGGAAGAGAGAGAAAAGGCAGAGCGAAAAGTGTGGGTGAGGGGAATATAATAACCAAAGAACTGAAATGTTTTGTTGTTTGGGTTTAATTTTTTTTCAACAAAGGAAAAATTCCACTAAAATTGTCCAACAAGACAGCACTTTTAAAAATTTCCTTAATTTTTTAATTTTTAAAATTAATTTGGCAGAGAAAATATTTTTCTCCTAGCTCTAAGAAGCAGCACCTGCCCTGGAGCCCTCAGAAAACATTGACTCACACAACAGCAGTTTAATCATAAAGAAAGTGAAATTTGTAGCCTAACTGACAATGGTTAGCCCAACAATTAAACTTTATAACGCAATCTGCCAATATTAGCTTTGGCATAAACACTGTCTAAGGGAACAATCACTTCAAGGTCTTAATTCTTTCACTTTTGCTGGAAAAGGGATGATTCCTCGGTTGAGTTTCGGGATTACACAGGGTATTGAGCTGTTTGTTCTGACAAGGGAGCTCACAGCACCAGATATTTAAAGGCTAAATCCCTTTGAAAAATCTGGCCCACAGATCAGTGTCCAATCCCTCCCTTGCCTCTGTGTGAGGAACCATAGATCTCAAATGCTGGTCCACAGGGTGCTTAGGAGCTTGTCAGTCTGAATCCGCCACCCAGTGTCCTGCTAATGGCTGCTAGAGTAGGGGATTTTAAGGGAGCTGCTGGGGGGAGGGGGTGGAAGGGAGAGGCAGGGAGGAAGCAGGGTGTGATAAACCTGCTGTTAGGGGGCTTATTCCTTCACCCACTTACTTCCCTGGTCCTTCTCGCATGAACAGAGAGCAACAATACCCGAAGTTTGAAGGTGCAAACAATTCAATGTTTATTGGGGTGAACTTCCAGCAAGCATGATTCCAGTTTCCTTCCTTAGTGTCCCCCTTCCCAGCTCTGACACCACAGAGCCTTACACCTGTGTCCCTGTTCCCATTCCTGCCCTTAGCCAAACATGATTCCAATTTCCCCACCCCCATTCCCTGTTCCTATCCTCTGCCTTACTTCCTGATTGACTGCAGACTAGATAGTAAAACTTGAGTTCTGCTTAGCTATACCTTAACCAATCATTTTCCTGAAATTTAACTAACCGATCCTAACATATTGTAACATGATTATTTAACCAATTATATCCCGCCACCTTAATTAGTTTACACCCAGCAAAATTAATTATACAGCAGATAGAAACAATCACAGAACCAGACAGAGACCATGCAAATAAACAATAGCAAAGTAGTTTCAGAGTAGCAGCCGTGTTAGTCTGTATTCGAAAAAAGAAAAGGGGTATTTGTGGCACCTTAGAGACTTACAGCTCACGAAAGCTTATGCTCAAATAGATCTGTTAGTCTCTAAGGTGCCACAAATACTTCTTTTCTAATAGCAAAGTGGGAACTATAATGACAAAACAATACAGAAGTGAGGATTTCACAACTACATCTATAAAGACATAAGGGTTTCCCAGCTGTGTCTATTGATAAGGAGTTCTTACTGAACAGAAAACTATCAAACTAAACTTCCTTTTACATCCTCTAGGGCTCTTCCCTTTCTCTAGAGGTGATCTGATCTCTCGCCTTTCTAACAGCCACAGATTGCCTTATTTCAATGTGACTAGTTTGGAATGCGAGGATGTGACCATACACTCCCTAGTTTATAGAAAAGGAGGACTTGTGGCACCTTAGAGACTAACCAATTTATTTGAGCATAAGCTTTCGTGAGCTACAGCTCACTTCATCAGATGCATACCGTGGAAACTGCAGCAGACTTTATATATACACAGAGAATATGAAACAATACCTCCTCCCACCCCATGGCTGCCTTTGCTGTTTAGCCAAAGAACAGGGCCTCAGACTTTCTTTTATACCTCTATAACTAGCTAAGTGATAAGAATACACCTAAATTCTTACAGTATAAGCCTTTGCAGCCAGGCCTGAATATCTATATCCTAACAATATAGATCAGCTGAGTGGGGGCTAGAGGAGCCGCACACTAAGATCAACCCAGAAGAACGGGTGGATTCTCTCCCCGGCGAAAGAGGCCGGCGGGAAAGTGATGATCAGGTCCCCGTTACCAGCATCAAAAAACGCCACCTGCCTCTGTTCATAGTCCAGATAAACCCGGATCCTGCGGGGTGCCTGGCTCGGGGACAAGGCGATGTGCTGCACAGGGGATGTGAGAGCCTGGTACTGATCCTCACTGCACTCCACAGCCCAGATCCCCCCCTTGCGGTTAAGGCTGATCCATCCCTTCCTGCTCACAGACTCTTTGGCCACCCCCACAACACAGACTCCCTCCCCCTCCATCTCCACCTCCCAGTAATGTCTCTCCGAGGTGAATCCCGCACAGCCCAGCACACAGGGCAGAGAGTCAAATCTCTCAGGGTTGTCGGGCGGATCCTGCTCTGTGTCTCCCCATCTCACACTTTTCCTATCCGCAGACACGGTGAGGTCGTGATGGGCCGTGTCTGGATCCAGAGTCACATTCACTGGGGAGAGAGAATCAGAGTGTTAGGGGCAGAGCTCAGCCCTGGGGGATTCAGAGGAACAGCCATGTTAGTCTGTATTCGCAAAAAGAAAAGGAGTACTTGTGGCACCTTAGAGACTAACCAATTTATTTGAGCATGAGCTTTCGTGAGCTACAGCCCTGGGGGAGGGTCTGATCGTGTCAGTGACAGAACCTGCCCCAGCTGGGGAGTGAATCAGAGAATCTCCTCCCTCCAGGATTTACCCAGCTCTGAATGGGGAGCAGTGCTGAGATCTCAGCAATGCACACAGGGGATTCACACTCCTGACAGAGCCAGTTCAGTGACAAAGTGAAAGGATCAGCTCCGCTGAGCCAGGCCCCCAAACCAGAGTCTGAGTCTCAGTTATTCCATCCTTGTGCTTGGGGGAAAGACAAGGGGGGATAGAGGGAGGTGGTTTTAAGCCACCTTTGTCCTTCCTTTAGTGTACCTGGCCCCTAGTTACAGGGGCCTCAGGGCTGCAAAGCAGAGAACAGCCATAGTGTAATGCATTCTGTCTGTGTCTGCCCTCCCTTGGATAGGGCGAATCGGGGCAACCGCTCCGGGCCCCGCGCTTTGGAGGGCCCTGCGGGCCAGTGTGATTGGCCGGCGCAGTCGGTCTCAGAAGAAATAAATCTGTCACTTCCACCCCAGACTCCCCTAGTGACGGCCCTGGCCCCCAGCATGGCCCGCAACCCACTCCTACAATAACGGCTGGAGGCAGAGTTGCTGAAGAGTCCCTCTGCCAACTTCACATGGACTGGGGTGGCTCCCTTGCACCGGAGCTATTTTCTGGGGACTGTTTCCATGCACCTTAAGGCCCCTTTGCTCTGACAGAGCAGCATAAAAGGGCCTGACAATCAGGCTGGATCTTTCCCCATCTGCACCCACCTCTCCCCACATGTGTGATTAGAGATTCTAGCATCATCGAAGGCTCCCAGCAGATTACAGGGAATCCAAAGTCCCCCTGTCCAGTGACACAACTTTTCACAGCCCCCTCTCCCTGCAGAGCCCCCTCCCTCCTAAAGATCAGCGAGCTGAGCACTAGAAAAACTACTTGTATAGAGACATCACTGGTGCTCCAAGACTCTGTGTAGCTGCGGTGTGGTTCCTGAATGGCTGCTCGTCTTCTGCTGGTCTAACAGGGGACTTGCCAAACTCCACACGCAGGGCCATCCATAGCTATTCTAGGGCCCTACACAGCCCCACCCACCCCCATGGGGGAGAGGGGGATGGCAGACCTCCGTGGGGGGGGGGCTGGCTTTGGGGGCAGGGGGGAACCGGCCCCCAGCACTCACCAGTGGCGCAGCTGGGGCTGGGTTGCTGCACTTCCTGCTGCCAGTGAGTGCAGGCCCAGCCCTGCTGCAGTCCTCAGGGGAGTGGGGACAGGGCTGGGGCAGAGCAGGGGAGGGGCGGGGGTGGGGCAGAGCAGGGGCTTTGGGGAAGGGGTGGAGTGGGGGCGGGAAGAGGCAAGGCTGGGGCAGAGCAGAGGCAGGGGCCATGGGGAAGAGCTGGGGCAGGGGCTGGAGCAGCACCCAGCTGCGCCAAATTTCCTGGTGCCCTATGCAGCTGTGTACTTTGCATATGGGTAGCGACGGCCCTGTCCACACCGATGGCCCCAAGGCTATACATTGGCTAATACAGTATTGCCAACTTCAAGAGATCAAATCTCATGAGATTGACCCAAAAATCATGACATTATTCAAAGGATTATATTGTCATTTTTAGGTCTGTCTCTTGATGTTTGGACTCCCCTGGCCCCTCCCCAGGGTGTGTGCATGTGACAATGAGTGTGGCCCACTCTCCCACGTGTACTGGATAAGGTGATTTTGACTCCTGCTGCAGGAGCTCTCACTGCCACATCTGCCCATCTCCTGCCCAGCAATTAATCCTGTCCCCCAGACACCATCAGTTCTGTCCCCACCCAACCCCCCTCAATTCAGTCCCCCAGCCCCCGTCGTCACCGCCCCATCAGTTCAGCACCCCTACCCCACTGCCCGCAGTTCACCCTCCCAGCACTCACCCTATCTGCTCAGAACCCACCACCAATACAGCCCCCCCAGCCCATCAGCCCCCCACTCCCTTCAGGCCCCCTGCAGCTCCCAGGCCATAATAAAGCCCTCCCAGCCTCACCTCTGCTCCTCCTACGATTCTTCACCCTCCCTAGGCCTGGGGGCGACAGTGGGGTCCCCTCTCCCACTTCCCAGGCTGGCAGGGGAGCAGCCGCACTGGGGTGGCTGACAGGATATCTAAGTAAAATTAAGCCTCATTTTTAGAGCTCTCAAATATCGAGATTTTTTTTTCCAGCCACAGCTCTATCATGAGATCATGAGTGAGGCTTAGTTTTACTTAGAAATCACATCTCTCATGATTAGTTCGTGAGAGTTGGCATGTCTGCTGATAGGTGGTGTCTACCTAACCCTTTTTGACATTTTTAACATTTTTTCTTTTGACTTATTAAGTAGAGAGATAAAACAGAACTGTATATTTTTGTATGTTGAATTTTCTCATTCTTCATTGTACCACTTGTGCATTTGCTCATAATAATAATAATATTGCCAGGGGTTGTGATGTATGGGCATAAAGAGTTCTGAAAATGACATGAGATGTTCCTCTCTGAGTTTCCAAAAGGCTCATTTTTAAACTCTTAGATCGCTCTGGACATACACTGCTCGCCCCCTCTCCCGCACCATAGCCCATTGGGTTAACCCAACCACTCGTTAAAAATTCTAAATTATAACACAGAAAAGAAACTACTTTTCTGTTTTTAGGAAAGAGCTGGGTAGCCACCAGTAATACGGTGATCAGCTCCCGTCAAATGCAAAATTGAAACAAAACCTGAACTATGGTGCTGCCAATGAGCCACCATAATTCATATGAAAGTTTTCACTCCCCCTTTGATACGAGAAATTTACCTTTGTGCAACTGCTGTCTAGACGACAGTAAACCTAGAGGAAGAAATGGGTGAAAAAGGTTAAATGTCATGTTGTCATCTTTCGGAATATATTCACATTGTTAATGTTCTAACACAAAAGCAATATGAAAAGAAAACAAACTTTATTAAGTTATAGTTCAGGAGGTTAAGTGGAATTCAGACCAGTACAAACCATTACACACCTCACTAAAAAATAACCACAAACATTAAAAACAAAGCACATTACCTAAGGTTACATGACATAGCCAGAGATGTTTTATACAGCAATTAAACACCTGTGGCTGGCCCATGACAACTGACTTGCAGGGGCAGCGAGTTATATGGGCCTGTGGTGCCCATGAGCCAAGAATATTCAGGGTCTGGGGGCCCGGCTCCACCAATGTTCGCGACCAAGTTTTTCCCCAGCCCTGCCTGCTGCCCCCACACGCCTCCCCCAGAGCATCTCCCGGCCCTGCCTGCTGCCCCGGGTGATTTAAAAGGGACCGGGGGGCCCTGGCCACCGCCACCAGCAGCGCAGTAAGGCTAAGGCGGCTTCCTGCCCGCCCTCGCTCCGTGCCACTCCCGGAAGCGGCTGGCATGTCCCTGCGGCCAGGGGTGGGTGTTTCTGCGCTCTTCCCCCGCCCCAAGTGCCAACACCGCAGCTCCCAGCCAATGGGAGCTGCAGGGCTAGTGCCTGTGGGCAGCAGCGCATGGAGACTCCCTGACCCCCCCCCCCCCCCCGACCCCTAGGAGCCACTGCCAGAGGGGTGTGCGGGTCGCTTTCGGGAGGTAAGCGCTGCACCCCTCACCCTCTCTCACCCCCCAACCCCTGCCCCAGCCCAGAGCCTGCACCCCAGCTCCCTCCCTGAGCCTGCACCCCACACCCCCTCCTGCACCCCAACCCCCTGCCCCAGCCCAGAGCCCGCACCCAAACTCACTCCCAGAGTCCTCACCCCTCCTGCACCCCAACCCCCTGCCCCAGCACAGAGCCTGGACCCCAAACCCCCTCCTCCATCCAAACTCCCTCCCAGAGCCCAAACCCACTCCTGCACCCCAACTCCCTCCCAGAGCCTGCACCACCTCCTATACCCCACCCCTGCCCCAGCACAGAGCCCACACCTGAACTCCCTCCCAGAGCCTTCGGCAGGTGTGGGGGGATGGACAGGACTTGGACCCATTCTGGGCACCACCAAAAATTATACAAACCTGCCGCCCCTGCTGACTTGGCTGGCAGGGCTCGGGCAATGGGGCTGTTTAATTGCAGTGTAGATACTCGGGCTTGGGCAGAAGACTGGGCTTTGGGACCCTGTGATGGGAGCGGGTCGCAGAGCCCAGGTTCCAGCCCAAGCCCGAACCTCGTGACCCTGAGTCAGTGGACAGAGGCCAGCCACAGATGTTTAATTGCTGTGTAGACAAACCCTCTGAAACCAACAGACCAATACACAGAAACTTTTTCACTGATTAGCAATCAGCTTTAAATCTGCCCCTGAACCATTAGTATTTAGTAAAACTGGATCATCCTTCCTGAAAGACCTGGTGGTCTCATTATCTCCAGCTCAGGAGGATAAAAAGTGGAGAATCTCTAAAGCAGGGGTGGGGAACCTACGGCCCGCAGGCCAGATCCGGCCTGTTGCTAAATTTCCTCCAGCCTGCAGTGCCGCTCCCCTCCCCGCCCACTTGCCCTGACGTGGGGGGGAAGCCCCGAGCCTCTGAGAAGAGCTGCGGGAACTAGGAGTGCGGAGGGTGCTCCAACACCCCCCTGGTTTTGCGCTGGTTCCCAACCGCCTGCTCTGTGCCCAGGGTCCTGGCTGGCTGCTGCCCCCGGCCCCACATGTGGGGTCTCAGCTACTGCCAGGTTCCCGTCTGCTGGCCCCGCACCTGGGGCTCTGCTCCTGCCCCCAGCTGTGGTCCCAGCCTCAGCCCCTTTACCCCTGTCCACATCCTGCCCCTTCCCCCCTCCGCCCCTGGAGTCATGGCCCAGTCTTGCTCCAGCTCTGGGGAGAGGGGGCACAGACAGGAGTAAGGGGGGTGCCAGGTAAAAACTTTGGGACCACTGGCTTTCAGCACCCTGACTGTAAAAATTGTTCCAATGCCCCAAGCCTCCACGCCCCCTCTCTGTCCCCCTGCGGGTGAATGGCCTGCGATTGATTTTTTTCTGTGGGTCAGTGGCCCATGATAGCAAAAAGGTTCCCCACCCCTGCTCTAAAGCAAGAGAAGGACTATGATGACACAAGAGGACTTGCAGACAAAAAATCCAAACAAACATACTTCAAAAACAGTTAATTCAGCAAGAAGCTCAAGCTAAGGTTAACGTTCATAGCTGCTAAGAAAGGAAAAAGCCCAGGGAGTCCGAATTTAGGACCCTAATCCAGTGTGTATTGCTGTATTGAGAGCTGAGTAGGGAATTCTTGGGTTCCAAATGATTAGTTGACTATCTTCATCCACAATCATTGTCCCTACGAGATTTCCCCAGCTCTGTCAATTATCAGTGTAATATAGGTGAGAAAATTCCCCAGATGATTGTTTATTACCTTTGAATTTCTTCATTATGGTCTTCAGAGATGCATTTCTTTGAGAAGATTCCCAGATTCTCCATTTTAGTTCAGAAGAAAAGGCCACAGGGTTCTGAAACTCCTCCCTCTCACATCTGAAGAACAACCCAGTGTTACTCCTTGTGGAGTTCTTTCATATTTGTGTTTTACTAAAATGAATTTTATTCTAGTGAATGGTTGTAGCTCAGGAGACCCTGGAGGATTAAATTCTCTATTGCCCCAGGAGTAGGTACAATACCAGCTTTGACACCACAAGCTCCCCCTTCGTTTTGGTGAGACCGATATTGGAAAACTGCATCCAGGTCTGGTGTCCCCATTTTAAAATGGACGTTGAAAAAGTTGAGATGGTTCAAAGAAGACCCGCAAAAATGATTTGAGGGCTGGTAAAAATGCCTTCCACTGAGAGAACCCTGGCACTAGAGTATGGGGTATAAATACTTTCATGGGGAGAATATACTTGGTACTAAAGGGCTCCTCAATTTAGCAAACAAAGGCAAAACAAGGACCAATTGCTGGAAGCTGAAGCCAGAGAAAGTCAAATGGGAAATAAAACAGACATTTTTAAGAGTGCAGGTGGATTAACCATTGGAAGAAACTGCCAAGGGAAGTGGTGGATTCTCCATCTCCTTTGACAAAGCCCTGGCTGGGATTATTTAGTTGGGATTGGTCCTGCTCTGGGCAGGGGGTTGGACTAGATGACCTCCTGAGGTCCCTTCCAACCCTGATATTCTATGATTCTATGATCTCTTGACGGGGCACCAGAAGAGGGCGGGCCATGGCCCCATCACTTTTAAAAGTAGGAGAGCTATGCTCTCTCGCTTTTTACCTGTCTTAAAGGTAAGTTATGGGGGGAGGAGGCAGAGAGGAGCGAGCAGGTGGTGGGGTCTCTAGGGAAGAGGCAGAGCAGGAGTGGTGCCATGGTTTGGGCACCAGTGGCCCCCCACACACACTTTTAGGGAGCTTCAAGTGTTACTGTCTGTTGATGTCTTTAAATCAAGACTGAATGGCTTTCTGGAAGGTGCTTTAGTCAACGCTTGTTAGGATTTAGTCAAATACAAGTTATTGGGTTGAATAGAGGAATAACTGGGTGAAATTTAAGGATCTGTGATACATAGGCACTGACTCTGTGGGTTGCTCTGGGGCTGGAGCACTCACGGAAAAAAAACAGTGGGTGCTCAGCACCCACCAGCAGCCCCACAGATCAGCTTCCCCCCCTACCCACCAGTGCCTCCCACCCGCTAGCTGGCCCTGCCGATCACCTCTTCCCCCTGCCGATCAGCACCTCCCACCCACTGGGGGATCAGCTGTTCAGCAACAGACAGGATGTGCTGGGGGGAAGGGGGTGGAGCAAGGACGGGAAGAGGCTGGGCAAGGCAGGAAGATGTAGGGTGGGGCCTGGGCGGAAGGAGTGGAGTGGGGGCAGGGCCTGGGGCAGAGCGGGGATCGAACATCCCCGGGGAATGAGAAAATCAGTGCTGTGATAAAGAGGAGGTCAAATGTGATGATCTTATGATCCTTTCTGGCCTTCAACTTTATGCATTTATGAAACTCAGTAATACCATGTGGCAATGAGTTCCACAGGTTAATAATGAATTGTGTAAAAAAAAAAAAGTATTTCCTTTTCTCAGCTTTACACTAGTTGACCTTCAGTTGCACTGAACATCCAGCCTTGATCTTGTATTGTGAGTGTGGGTAAGCAGGATCACCTGACTTATATCCTGTACACCATTTAAGGGAGATAATTAGTGACAATCCTTGTGGTGATTTAGATACCCATTCTACCAGGACCTGGAGTGAGACCCACTAACCCATTTCAAAAGATAATTTATGTTCTTATTTAGTTCTTTGGACCCTTACAATGGTCAGTCCACTAGCACAGGGGTTCTCAGCTACAAAGGCTAGTGTGTGTTCACTCCACACTGAGGGAGTGGCAAACTGCTTAATGAACTTGCACTGTCCAAGGGAACCTTGAGCAGCGTAAGCCAGTGCAGTTCTGCGGGGTAGGGCTGGAGCTGGGGGGGAACTGGCTGGTGCCTTTCTATTGCTGGTTCATCAATGGCTGGGAGATGATTCATGTAACACAGTTGGACGTGTCCCTGCCCATAGGTGTCTGTGTAAGCCCAGTGCCTGTGAGGCTTGTAGCTTGACAACAGCATCACACTGCGAGAGGCAGCCCAGGTTGGGGATTTGGAGGGCTCAGCAGTCCCACACTCCAGGATGCACCCCGGGAACCCCGTCACACTAATGTAAATCTCCCTTGTTGCTACTTAAACCAATGACTTCTTGTTCTGCCCTCTCTGGACTTGAAGAACAACTGATCACCACTCTCTGTATAACAGCCTCATACATATTTGAAGACTTATCAGGCCCTCCCTCAGTCTTCTCTTCTCTAGACTAAACATACCCATTTATTTCAACCTTTCCTCACAGCTCATCTATTCTAAACCTCTGATCATTTTTGCTGCTCTCCTCTGAATTCTCGCCAATATTTCCACATCTTTCTTAAAGTGCGGTGGCCCAAACTGGACACGGTATTCCAGCGGAGGCCTCACCGTGACAGAAAGGGTGGAACAACGTCCTTCTGTGTCTTACATGTGACACTCCTGTTAAGACATCTGTGGTGGAGTGTTCACCATCAGCCCTCAAAAAGAGTGCGGGAAGCTGAGAAAGAGGAGATTAGTGAGACAGGCCACACATGAGCGGTTTAGGCCAGAGAAGCAACCCTTGATTGGAAGATGAAGCTCTGCTCAGCCGGTGGGAGCTGAGCTAATATAAAGCCAGGAAGCTGGCAACAGAAATTGGCTGCAGTGAGGAAGTCTGGAGCCACCCTCTGTGCAGTCGAAAGCGAAAAAGAGGGAACCAGGGAAAGAATAGCATGCTAGGAGCCTGGCCCTGAAGAAAGGGAGTACTTAGAATCCTAGGGTTAGAAGGGCCTGCAAGGGTCATGTCTAACCCCTATAAGAGAGAAGGGTGGAGATGAAAGCCTATGGGATGCGAGTAGGAAGCAGCCCATGTTCAGAGCAGACCTTGCCTGCATGTGGGCTAGAACCTGGAGCAGTGGGTGGGCTCGAGTTCCCCTAGCCACTGATGGAGTGACATTGCCTGGTCAGTGGGACCAGTGAGACACTATACGCCAGAAGGGGAAACCATTTAGTGATCTGGCTGGAGGGCTGAGTCATGAAGAGGAAGCTGCAGCTCTTGGAGTGAGAGATGAGGCTGCAGAATGAGAGAGAGGGGGGGGGGGGGTGGAGAGACTGCAAGAGGTGGTGTTGGACCTGGAAGAGAGCTAAATCCCCAGAACAGCCAGGAGGAGACACCACCTGCGGTGAATACAGCAACTTGTGACAACATGCCAAAATGACATTTGCCTTTTTCACAAGAGCATCACACTGCTGACTCGTTCAATTTGTGATCTGCTTTAACCCCCAGATCTTTTTCTGCAGTACTGCTGCCTACCCAGTTATTCCCCATTTCATAGTTGTACATTCGATTTTTCCTTCCAAAGTGCAGTACTTTGTCTTTATTGAATGTCCCCTTAAATTGATTTTAATCCTTCCTCCCTCCGCCCTTTGTCTCTTGTGTCTATTTAGACCAGGGATCGGCAACCTTTGGCACGCGTCCCATCAGGGAAAGCCCCTAGCAGGCCGGGCCACTTTGTTTACTTGCCGCGTCCGCAGGTTTGGCCGATCGCGGCTCCCACTGGCCACGGTTCACTGTCCCAGGCCAATGGGGGCTGCGGGAAGCGGCGCGGGCCGAGGGATGTGCTGGATACCCTTCCCGCAGCCCCCCTTGGCCTGCGACAGTGAACCGCGGCCAGTGGGAGCTGCAATCGTCCGAACCTGCGGATGCGGCAGGTAAACAAACTGGCCCGGCCCGCCAGGGGCTTTCCCTGGCAGGCCGCATGCCAAAGGTTGCCGATCCCTGATTTAGACTGTAAACTATTTGGGGGCAGGGACTGTCTTTCTATGTGTCTGTGCAACGCCCAGCATGTTGGGACCCGATTTGGCTTTGAGCCAGTACTAGTGATAATAGCAAATTATATACTCCTGAGAGCAGGGAAAGTCTCTTCCATCATATCTGTTGCTACGCCAAGCACACTGAGAGAGCTCACTTCATAATAAGAAACAATTAATAAACAGCTCATTGAATAGTCGCCAGATGGCCCTGACTTTTCATTCCTACCAACCTAGGCGGAGTCTGGAGTGTTTCTCCACACCCAATCTTCTGAGGTCCCCATTCCACCAGCGACACTACAAATCAATACCTGGTTTGTAGGTAAATAGCTCTTATCTCAGGCTGCTCTATTCTGGAGTCTAGTCAAAATGACAACAGCCCCAAGATTAGATTTAATGGAGAGAGATTGGGAACCAACCCCACACTCTGCACTGTTGGACCATGGGGAGCCACGTCTCATGTTTAAAATCCCTTCCCTGCATTGGGAAGTGAAAGGGAGAGTGACAAGGAGCCACCTACCTGCTCAAGATGTCTTTGATGTCCTGGAGGAGAAAAATAAAAGGAAATTCAGTCTCATATCTCATACTAATGATCCCTCCTGCTCTGGAGGGGACTCACTTTGTCTTCACAGTTTGAGGTTCAAAGAGAAAGTATTTGTCATTTATTAATGCAAACAAAAACATTAAATGTGTTGCCTTTGTTCTTTTGGATAAGTGCTCTGACTGCAGGATCTGGGCCCAGGAAGTTTGTATATGGAGACACACAAGCTCTTTGTGTAACAACATTTGGATAACCAGCTGGCATATGGAATCAGAGGGCTCGGTCTTGCGAGGTGCTGAACAAGGATCTTCTGAACAGTCACAGGTTTGGGGAAGATCCCCTCCAGCAGACTCCAGTGGGTCCAGAGGGAGGCATGTCCCCCCATGCTGTTTTGCCCCCATGCTGTCAACTCTCTGCCCACTCTCCCACAAGCATTCTGAATGCCCATCCTGTGGACTTCTTGACATCCACAGGAAGTTGGGGCTGGGTGAGAACAATGGGTGTGGGGTACAGAGTAACCCAGGGCCAATCACTATCCTACACCCCAGGTTCAATGCAGGAAACTTGAGGAGTGAAGAATGCTGCCCACAGCAGATACTGGTTGCAACAGAGAATTTGACCCTAGATAACAGCTAGAGAAGTCCAGGATGCTACGGTTTTTTTCCCTCGCCTTTTTTCTTTTCTTTTTTTTTTTTTGAAGAGCAAAATCATTAGAAGGCTTTTGGAATTCTAACGACGACTTACTTTCAGGCTACCATAAGTAATGAACAGCTTCCCTAACTAACTTCAGTTCTGGCAGACAAAATCACCACAGCCTCAGACCTCATGTATCAATTTTAAGGCCAATATTTTCCCTTTTTGTGATATGCAGGAAAAGTGGCAAGATCAGGCTTTAAATGGAATCTTAGCTTCAATCTTAGCTATTTCCATAATTAAAGACTGGTTCCATCTTTAATCTTTTGGAGTTAGCATTTGGAACGCAGGAAACGCCAGACTGGGCTCAGACCAGAGGGCCATCGAATCAGTATTCTGTCTCCAAAGGTGGACAGTGCCAGATGGTTTGGAGGAAGGTGTAAGATAATCTTCCTCCTATATTCTCATCCTTCTCCCTAACAGTTAGCGACTGGCTAAAGCAATGAAGTATGAGGTTTAATATCACTCTGCATATTCTTGTTATCCATATAAATATCTGATCACTTTTTGAGTTTTGCTAAATGCTTGTTCTCAACGACATCCGGTGGCAATCAGTCCCACCGTCTAATTACGTGATGTGTGAAAAAGCGTTCATTGCATCAGTTTTGAATTTGTCACCTTCTAATTGTATTGAATTTCCCTTTGTTTTGCATTATGAGACAGGGAGAACAGAGTTTGGAGTTTGCCATTTTTGGAGGAGTCTTCTCCCACTAGAATTCAAAAGAAGAATTTCTTTTCATTTAGGGCTTGATCCAATGCTCGTTGTACTCAAGAAGTATATTTCCGTTAACTTAGTGGGCACTTTATCAAGCCCTTAAGGAAAAATAATGTATATTTTAGCAATACTATATGTTCTGACCATTCACTCCTACACTCCAAAAGTGAAGAGTTCGGAGACTTTCTTGCTCTGTGAAAGATTCTGGGGTGTTTCTAACACTGTCTGACCTGCAGGAATTCACTCGCTGGCTGCTGGCACTTCTGCTCCATCTCAGTGATCAGGGAACTGAGGGAAGATATTTCCTCAGATAATTTGGCAACATACTCAGCCCTCCCCTTTTCAATTTCCTTATTCAGCTCGTCCAGCTGGAGTCGCTCTTGTTCCTCCAAAAGCTGCCGCAGTTGCTGAAATTCAGACACAATCTTCCGCTTCTCAGTTTCTAGCTGTTTCTGAAATGAGGAGATACAAACAGGAAAAGCACAGGTCAAGGACAAGACTACGGAGCGAGTCATGGGACACTTTATGCACGTGGCAGCATACCCTTGCAACCCCACAGAATTTAACTTCTGACATTTTATGGAGAACATACTCTGCTCAGTAGACTGAAGATTTTCCAATAGATTTTCAAGAGTCATAACTGGTGTTTAGAATATGAATTTTCCTTGCATGATTCGGATAATCTATGATCAGTGGCTTCTAGAAAACCAGATCCTTCTAATAACAGGAAGCACAGCAGATGTGGGATTCAGAACTGGACTGGCAAGGATTATTTTAGTGGAGGAAACAGTAGAACCCAAAAAAGAAGCACTCGACTTGAACTGGGGAACACAAATTGCTGGGAAGACCCCTTTTTTGCACATGCAAATCTGAATTTGCAGGTTGCTTAGGAATGAGTGCATGTGAACTGGACAGAAGTCCACCAATTCATGCTGTTTCTGGAGCACTCTCTGGCCCCTGATCCTCTAGGAGCAAGGAAATCAGACCAGATTTGGAACCCAGATCTTCTTCATGGCACTGTCTAGTAGTGATACCATTAAGCGCCTGTTCCAGAGCTCACTGAACTGAAGTCTTTCCAATTACTTCCTTGTGCTTTGTTTTAAGCAGTAAGTGAGCCTCCTCCTCTGGGACAGCAGATTCCTATAGCAGCTGCACTGATTGTCCAGCTGTGGTTATCTCTGTTGAAAGTACAGCTGGCCAAAATATTGGGGGGGGGGGGGGAGCGGGGAATTTGCAAAAAATAATTGAAATGTCAAAGTTGTTTCTATTTCTCAGTTTCCAAATGGAACTTTTGATTTGTTTGAAAAATATCTTGAAATAACTTTTGAAAAATGTCACATTTTTCTTTTTCCCTTTTCCCAAAATGGAACAAAATAATGTTCATTCCCCCCCCCCCATTTTTCTTTTTAGTACATCCTCTGTGTACCTCTTCAAAAGATCTCCCATTTTTGAAAAAGTGGCAAAAAGAAAAAGGAAAAACTAAGGGGAAAAACCCCTGGAAATTATTCATTTTAGTGCACTCAGTAGAAAAAAGGACTAAAAAGAGAAAGAAAGATAAAAAACAAATATGAAAGTTTTAAAATTTCTCAGCTTTTTAAAAGCAGAATGAAAATTTCAGTTTGAAATTACACAAAAATGTTTGTTTCATTTTGAAATTTCCCGTCAACAAATTGAAAAATTTGTTGCAAGTGTCTTTTGCCCATGAAAAAAAACTTGTTTTCTACTAAACCCCTTTTATCTGCAGGAAGCTTTTTTTGGTTGAAAAATTTCAACCAGCTTTAGTTGAAAGACTAAAGGAGAAACTACTGTTACGTAAACAAATTACACTTGAATTATCAGTGAAGATATTTGGATTATTAAAACTCTTTCTTTAATGCTGCATTTTCCTGCTTACTCTCAATTAAAGCAGAACAGTTTTCCTTTACAATGAGAATAAATAAGTTATCATCTTTCACGGACGAGAACATGTTACTCACTATTCCTCTTATGTTACTCAGACTAAGCAGTGTCTTGATAATGTCCCTGTGCACATTTGCTTCTGAGTAATAACGGCACCTACCAGGAGTTCATGGCTTTTATTTTCCCCACTCAGTTTAAATGACAGAATATCTTCTCTCTCTTCCTTCAGAATCTCCACAAGGCTCCAAATTTGGTCCTAACAAAAGAAAAACTGGTATAGTTTTGATTGTTTTTGGAGAATTTCCCCCCATTTATTTATATTTGCAAGAATATCAAATACATAATAAAATGGGTGAGTGCTCTAACCACATGACTATACAGTCATTCTCATTCTCTCTCTCTCTTTGGCCCAAATTACTTTTTATCCCCAGTGGAATAGCTTCTACAGGGGAGAGGGAGAGAGCCCCACATCACAATAGCCCAGTGGTTCTCAACTGTGGTCCACCGGTTGTTCAGGGAAAGCCCCTAGCAGGCCGGGTCGGTTTGTTTACCTGCTACATCCGCAGGTTCGGCCGATCGCAGCTCCCACTGGCCATGGTTTGCCGCTCCAGGCCAATGGGGGCTGCAGGAAGGGCGTCCAGCACATCCCTCGCCCCGCGCCGCTTCCTGCAGCCCCCATTGGCCTGGAGCGGCAAACCATGGCCAGTGGGAGCTGCGATCGGCCGAATCTGTCGACGTGTCAGGTAAACAAACTGGCCTGGCCTGCTAGGGGCTTTCCCTGAACAACCGGTGGGCCACAGTTGAGAACCACTGCAATAGCCCATGGTTAGGGCACTCACCTGAGAGATGGCAGATCCGTGTTCGAATCTCTTCTCCTCATCAAGTGGAAGAGGGACTTGAACCAGTGTTTCCTACTTCCCAGGGGAGTACCCTAACCCCTGGGCTAAAAGTTAGGAGGGAGGGCTGCCTGTGTGTACTAACTTGTGGGACCTGATCTGGCAGGTGTGCTCACAGGCCACTTACCAGGTTGGGCCCCATACTCTACTTAGGCCTATCTTCCTCCAGACTGTGAATCGCTCTAGGGCTTAGGTGGGAAATAGACATCCGGATGCCTAGAGGGAAGCAGCACTGCAGTGTGCATGCCTAGAAATATAGGGATGATGTAAAAGCTGGAACGAGCCAGAAAGACCCAGAACAACATTTTAGTCAATACAATTGTTGCAAAAACCAGCAGGTACCTTTACAGGCAGTTAAGAACAATATTTTAGTAATGAGAACAGACTCATAACACACTGTACTCCTAGGAGAAGTCTGTGCCACTGCGCAATGCAGAATTTTGCAGAAATTAATGTTGGGCATGCAAAATTTCCTTTTTTCCCCACAGAAATGGGCTGCAGAGATGTTGGCCGCCACTAGTGGCTGCTGGACTTGGCAGAGCCCAGCTTGCAAATAGAAGACAATGCCAGGGAGAGTGGGAGGGAACTGGAGTGTTCCCAGCAGCTGTTGCAGTTGCCAGCATGCCCTGAGGGAAGGAAGGGAGCAGCAGCAAGCAGGAAACTCTGTGCAAGCCCAGGACCCAGCATCAGGCTGTTTCTCCTTCTGGATCCCTGGGCTCTGGAGAGGTAGGGTCTGTGAGTGTCTGGGCCGGGGGGAATGTCGCAGCTAGCCTCTGGGGGAGACAGGGTGTGAGTGTCTGGGCCAGGGAGGGCTCCACAGCTGGGCTCTTGGGGGGAGGGGTTGTGAGTTTCTTGCCCCCTGGCTGGATTCTGAGGGGGAGGAGGCAGAGAAGTAGGAACTGGGTTGTTTTAGGGGTTTCTTTAATCTCTACTCCTGGAGGGGACATTTTGTGTGTCTGTATTGTTACAGACATACTTGCTGACAGGTATTTTGAAATAAATTACAAAAATAATTGAAACTGGTGTGATTGTATCGTGTTATTTTGACAAAATTTGCAGAATTTTGCAGAATTTTAAAATATTGTCACGGAATTTTAAATTTTTCATGCAGAATTCCTGCAGGAGTAACATTGTCATTAACTCATTTTGGCTCAAAATGATATTTTAAACCTCCCAAAACCCCTAAAAGACAATATTTTACCAATGAGAACCCATTACTAGCACACTGTCATTAATCTGTTCCAGCCCAGAACCACTTTTTAACACCAGTAGGGACCTGGAGTTGCACGGGGATATAGAAAATTACTACATATTGTACATAGAGGTGAGAATACATAATGCTAATGAAAAACCCATGTAATTTATCTTTTATGGGGCATTCCAGGCAGTAATTAGCTTTATTAGTGAAGCCACACAGAACACACGGTTCTGAAGAGACACAGGAATGGCATTTTGATAAATAAAATTGTTGCCAAAAAGAGCAGATACTGTGGCAGAGCCTTAAGAACAACATTTTAGTAATGAGAACAGACTAATAAAACATTTCTGTTAACCTGATCTGGCCCAGAACCTCTTTTTTAACTCCAAAAAAGGACCCAGAACACAGTTCTGAAGTGGTTCATGGGACCAAAATGGTACACATAATACAACCAACTGAGAATAACGCTATCCCACAGAAAACCTTTTCTGAACCCACCTTCAAGTGCCAGTTACAGGCAAAAAATAGTTTTATTTTTTCTGAGGTGGCACAAGGGACCAAAATGATTCACACACAGTGGCGTCCCATCTATAAATGCAAGCACGCATTGCATGCCCGACCGCCTGGGCATTGTCTAACTGGCGGCCTGCAGGCTGGATCCGACACACGGGACGATTCTGTCCGGCCCTGATGTAGAACACCAGTCCTCCGCACAGCAGGACCTCGCCCACAGTGCATGCGAGATCATGTTTACACCACATGGAGGATGCCATTTTGGACTGCCTAAGGCATGCAGATAAGTTGTTGCATGCCTTACTAAAACTGTCACGGCATGCGACTATACACGTAATACAACTAACTGAAAACACTACAGAAAACCTTTGCTGAAGCCACCTTTAGGTGCCTGTTCCAAGCTCCGACTAGCTTTATAAATAAAACTGCCCAGAACACTCAGTTCTGAAGAGACACAGGGAACAAAAATATGCCAGAAACACATCTTAATAAACAAAATTGTTGAAAAAACAATGATTACTGTTACAGACACTTCAGAACAATATTTTAATTAATGAGAACTGACTAATTACACGCTGACAGGTTTCAGAGTAGCAGCCGTGTTAGTCTATATTCGCAAAAAGAAAAGGAGTACTTGTGGCACCTTAGAGACTAACAAATTTATTTGAGCATAAGCTTTCGTGAGCTACAGCTCACTTCATCGGATGCATTCAGTGGAAAATACAATGGGGAGATTTATATACACAGAGAACATGAAAAAATGGGTGTTATCATACACTCTGTAAGGAGAGTGATCACTTAAGGTGAGCTCAGCAGGAGAGTTGGGGTGGGGGGGGAACCTTTTGTAGTGATAATCAAGGTGGGCTATTTCCAGCAGTTGACAAGAACGTCTGAGGAACAGTGGGAGGGGGAGGGGATAAACATGGGGAAACAGTTTTACTTGGTGTAAATACCCATCCACTCCCAGTATCTATTCAAACCTAAGTTAATTGTATCCAGTTTGCAAATTAATTCCAATTCAGCAGTCTCTCGTTGGAGTCTGTTTCTGAAGTTTTTTTGTTGAAGAATTGCGACTTTTAGGTCTGTAATCGCGTGAGCAGAGAGATTGAAGTGTTCTCCAACTGGTTTTTGAATGTTATCATTCTTGACGTCTGATTTGTGTCCATTTATTCTTTTATGTAGAGACTGTCCAGTTTGACCAATGTACAAGGCTGAGGGGCATTGCTGGCACATGATGGCATATATCACATTGGTGGATGTGCAGGTGAACGAGCCTCTGATAGTGTGGCTGATGTGATTAGGCCCTGTGATGGTGTCCCCTGAGTAGATATGTGGGCACAGTTGGTAACAGGCTTTGTTGCAAGGATAGGTTCCTGGGTTAGTGGATGAGCTGTAGCTCACGAAAGCTTACGCTCAAATAAATGTGTTAGTCTCTAAGGTGCCACAAGGACTCCTTTTCTTTTTGCGTAATTACACACTGTTATTAACAGTTTCTAACTGCGAACCTTTTATTTGAACACAAAAAGGGACCTGGAACACACGGTTCCAAAAGTGGTCGGGGACCAAAGTGATACACATAATACAACTAACTGAGAATAATGCTATAATACAGAAAACCGCTGACACACCCACCTGTTTAGCAAACAGCTTTATTAATAAAACCACCCAGCAGACTCAGCTCCGAAGTGGCTCATGGAACCAAAATAAAGGGAAATGTCTGGAACGGCATTTTGATAAAGAAAATTGGTTTAAAACAACTCAGCGGAAATGGTCAGAGAACACTGGGAGCATTATTTTAGTCATGAGAACTGATTAACAGCTGTCATTAACCTATTCTAGCCCAGAACCATTTTTAAAACAAAGCAGGAGCCTGAACTCTCAGTTCAGAAGTGGCTCAGGGGACCAAAGTTGTACATATAGGTGAGACTAATATAATGCTAATGAGAAACTTGTCTTTAACCCGGGTTTTCGGGTGATAATTAGCTTTAGTACTAAAGTGGTTCCAAAGTGTCACAGGGGACAAAAATGATGCATGTCATACAAGTGAGAGCAACATAGTACTACTGAAAACACCAGCCTAAGATGTTACCACAGAAATGGGGTCAGGGAGCAGGCAGTGTGGAGGATAGTGTGGGTATTCCAGGGGGATGAATACTCCTTCTTGCTGCTTCAGAACGCATGTACCTGTGGGAACACCTGTTTTCACCCCGTTTTCACCTCTGCTTCTCTGCAGTTTGGAACCTTGACATTCCCCCCCCGCACGTAGCTCTCAATCGGCGTCGAGAAGGCACAGAGCTGCTTAGAGGGTGTGGAAATCCCCTATGTACAATTGCATGGCACATAAGTAGGCTCAGAATAGGCCACTAACCTCCTAGGTCCCCATCATTGTTGCCAATCACTAAGTTGGAAGTGTGTGTTGCTTAAATGCAATACATTATTCTACTTTAATCATCCTATTCTATCATCGGTTGCGTCTTGACAATTGTCCAGTCGGTGGTGTGTCTGACCTGTAACTCTAATCTGATTTGCACAAAGCTTTGCAGAAGATTTAACAAAACCTAAAATTCACAGGTGCACAAATACAATAAAATAGATTGTTTAGTCTTTTTTTCCTCCAGTATGTGTAGTTTAATCTCTATGTATATATTGGGACAACTTTCACTGCAAGAAGCTCTGGACATTTTAAGAAATCCTATAAAAAAGACAAAATATCCACTCTTCCAGCCTCTAAGCCAAACAATGGACAGCTGCTTGCATACCGTTATGAAGGGCAAAAGGACAAAAAAGATGACTGGAGGTGTGATCAATACAAATGGATCCACAAAGGAAGACATCTTTTCCCAACGGGGGCAGCCTCTGGTAAGGAAGAGATATTTTCGAAGACTGATCGATACACTTCTTTCATATGCCCGTTTCAGCTAGGAGACTTTCCCGCTCCCCCTTCATGTGCCTTTTCTCAGGAAAATCCAGCAATTCCTGTGGCTGCACTGATTCATGACAAGTGCACACGATATTTTTTCATTTCTAGCAGAATGTGTGTCCCAGGTCAGCAGCAGTTCCACTGTACTAGTACTTGGCTACATGTATAAATTTCAGCCCTGGGCCAATTCAGAACTGACTTTTCTGGGTCCTTATTGGCATTAAAAATGGTTTGGGACCTGAACAATTTAATAACAGTGTGTTATATGTCTGTTCTCATTGCTAAAGTATTGTTCCTAAGGGTGTCTAACCGTAACTGCTCTTTTTTGCCATAATTTTTTTATTAAAATGCCATTCCAGCTTTTACACCATCCCGTGATTTCTTACCTTGTAATTCTGGGCAGCCTCCTCTATGGGAACCACAGTGTGTTCTCTGTGATCTTGGGACAGATGACAAACCAAACAAATGGGTGTTTGATCCTCTTGGCAGAAGACATCTAAAGCCTTCTGGTGTTTTTCCCACACACTGTCCCAACTTCTGGTTCTTTTGTTGGCTCCAGTGTAAGTGTTCTGGAAGCTTCTACAATATTCCTTAGCTGTCTGTTTGGTTTGAAGTTTCTCTGGGAAAAGAAAAGGAGAACTTGTGGCACCTTAGAGACTAACCAATTTATTTGAGCATGAGCTTTCGTGAGCTACAGCTCACTTCATCGGATGCATACCGTGGAAACTGCAGCAGACTTTATATACACACAGAGAATAAAAGTTTGTTTCATATTCTCTCTGTGTATATATAAAGTCTGCTGCAGTTTCCACGGTATGCATCCGATGAAGTGAGCTGTAGCTCACGAAAGCTCATGCTCAAATAAATTGGTTAGTCTCTAAGGTGCCACAAGTCCTCCTTTTCTTTTTGCGAATACAGACTAACACGGCTGTTACTCTGAAACCTGTCACTCTGGGAAAAGGTTTCTCTGCACTCAGGACAGGGGAAGTTTGTACTCAGTGCCTCCCAGCACTGAGTGATGCAGGCCTGGCAGAAATTGTGCCCACAATCTAGATACACTGGATCGTTAAAATAATCTAGACACACTGAACAAGTCAGTTCACCTGGGAGCAGTTGTGCTGGATTCGCAGCAGCCCTGGCGGCTTCTGCAGAGAAGAGAGTTTCCTTTTATTGTTCTCAGAAATGGGCTGATTCTGAACCTTGCACACCAAAGAGGTGTTTCCTACGTTTTCATTGTCTTGTGTCACTCTTGGGAGGCTGGAAACTCCTTTTGGTCTGAGTCAGCACCTGGAGGAAGCACCGTGACAGACAGTGGAGTGCAGCACCTGACGTGCTCGATCCCTGCAATGGTGCAGCCCGGCCACCCTGCAGAACGGTTGTTTGAGAACCGGCACCTGCCACACCCACACCTAGCTCTATACAGCATGTCCTCCACCTTTGCTGTGTCACTGCACTGTGGGACTCCAGAGGTACCGACAGCCTCGCTCGTGGCACAGCTCTCTGCAGCAGGTGGTTGTGGGAAAATTTACCAAGTATTGTGGGCTGCCAGCGGTATTCCAGCCTTTAGAAGGCGAGGATCCTAGAGTCATGCCCCTCCAACCCAATGACTGGGGCAGCGGCCATCTTTTTTTCTGCTCAATGTTCGCCCTCTGTGGTTGATACAATAATTTCTAAATATCGTCTTCCTAGCCATATTCCCGCAGGTCAGCAGGGAATATCCACATGGTCTGTGACTGAGAGAAAAGGGGTGGCTGGGAACAACAGGGGCCAGAGTCACTGTCTGATTCTCACCAACTGCAGCATGGAAACATTATATTTTTGTATGTTGAACTTTTCCCCCCCATCTTTGTTGTACCACTTGTGCGTTCACTAATATTGTAGCCAGGGGATGCGATATGTACATAAAGAGTTCCGAAAAAGAAGCTCGATATTAGACCTGATTTTCTAAAAGGCTCATTTGTAAACTCTCTGATCTCTGCTGAGACACACTGCCCTTCTCTCCCCAGCCCATCTGGTCAGCCCCAACCACTATTAAAACATTCTAAATTATGACAGAGAAAAGAATCGCCGTTTCTGTTTTTGGCGAAGACCGGTGTAGCCACCAGTAATACAGGGTTCGGCTCCTGTCTAATGCAAAATTGAAACAAAACCTCAACTGTGGGGCTGCTGATGAGCCACCATCATTCATATGAAAACATTCACTTGATCCCAGACATTTACCTTTGTCCAAGTGCTGTCTGGATGACAGTGAGTCTAGAGGGAGAAAAAGGTGAAATAGAGTAAATGTCCTGTTCTCACATTTATGAATATATTCACAGTATTAAGATTCCAAAACTACAGCAAAATGAAACTAAAACAAACTGCATTAACTTACAGTTCAGGTGGCTAAGTGCAATTCAGATCAATACAAATCATTACACACATGACTAAAAAATAACCCCAAACATAAAAAAAACTAAGAAAATTACCTAAGGTTACATAAACATCTCTGAAACACATAATTCCCACACAAACCAATAAACAGAAACATTTTCACTGATAACATCCAAACAACCTTAAATCTGCTTCTGTACCACTAGTACTCAGTACAGCTGACTCCTCCTTCCTGAGAGATTTGGTGGTTCTCATTGGGTGTGTCTACACTGCAATGTAAGCCCAGGGTCAGTAGAACTCAAGTTAGCAGACCCTGGGTTTGTTAACCTAGGGCTTGAGCGTCTACACTCATTTGTAACCCCAGGTTAGGAATTGTTGAACCCTGGGTCCCAACCTGGGGCTCCAGCATCTACATTGCATTGTGCGGGCCCAACTCTAACAACCCATATCCCAGACTTCCTAGCACCCTCCCAAAATGTGGCTGGCTCTAGTGCTTAGTTCCTGATGCAGTGTGGAAAAACTTGACTGTCCACCAAATCTGACTGTCTAGAGGACAAAGCACATTACCCCATAGGATACTTTTGGCAGACTCATGGAGAATGAGTCCAGTGGGGCTGCATCTATACTGCAAAGCAATAAGGTTGAACCCTGGGTCCTAGCTTGACCCAGATGTGGATCCTCCATCCCTGTGGGGTCCTGAGCCCTTGTGTCTGAATGATGGGCTAGTGTGATTTGTGTGGAGATGGGTGGGGGTTAGTCTTGAGCTGGAGTTTAAACGCTGTGCTTATATTCTAGTGTAGACATACCCAGTATCTCCAGCTCAGAAGGATAAAAGATGGAGACTCTCTAAAGCAAGAGAGGGACTAAGGGTGACAGAGGAGGACTTGCAGGAAAAAACTCAAACAGACATACTTAAAAAACAGTGAATTCTGGAAGAAGCTCAGGTGAAGGTTAATATTTATTGCTGAAAAGAAAGGAAAACCCCTGTCAAGGTTCCTCCCCCACTCTGAACGCTAGGGTACAGATGTGGGGACCTGCATGAAAACCTCCTAAGCTTATCTTTACCAGCTTAGGTCAAAACTTCCCCAAGGTACAAAATATTCCACCCTTTGTCCTTGGATTGGCCGCTACCACCACCAAACAAATACTGGTTACTGGGGAAGAGCTGTTTGGAAATGTCTTTCCCCCCCCAAATACTTCCCAAAACCTTGCACCCCACTTCCCGGACAAGGTTTGGTAAAAAGCCTCACCAATTTGCCTAGGTGACTACAGACCCAGACCCTTGGATCTTAAGAACAATGAACAATCCTCCCAACACTTGCACCCCCCCTTTCTGGGAAATGTTGGATAAAAAGCCTCACTAATTTGCATAGGTGACCACAGACCCAAACCCTTGGATCTGAGAACAATGAAAAAGCATTCAGTTTCCTTACAAGAAGGCTTTTAATAGAAATAGGAGTAAATAGAAGTAAAGAAATCCCCTCTGTAAAATCAGGATAGTAGATACCTTACAGGGTAATTAGATTCAAAACATAGAGAATCCCTCTAGGCAAAAACTTAAGTTACAAAAAAGATACACAGACAGAAATAGTTATTCTATTCAGCACAATTCTTTTCTCAGCCATTTAAAGAAATCATAATCTAACACGTACCTAGCTAGATTACTTACTAAAAGTTCTAAGACTCCATTCCTGGTCTATCCCCGGCAAAGGCAGCATAAAGACAGACACACAGACCCTTTGTTTCTCTCCCTCCTCCCAGCTTTTGAAAGTATCTTGTCTCCTCATTGGTCATTTTGGTCAGGTGCCAGCGAGGTTACCTTTAGCTTCTTAACCCTTTACAGGTGAGAGGAGTTTTCCTCTGGCCAGGAGGGATTTTAAAGGGGTTTACCCTTCCCTTTATATTTATGACAACCTCCAAACCCTAATCCAGTGTGTATATGCTGTATTGAGACCTGAGTAGGGAATTCATAGGCTCCAAATGATTAGCTGACCATCTCAATCCACAATCATTTTCCCTGAGTGATTTTCCCACCTCCGTCAATTAACAGAGTAATATATGTTACAAAATTCCCCAGGTGACTGTTTATTACCTTTGAATTTCTTCACTGTGGTGGCCAGAACTGGAGAGTTTTGAGAAGATTCCCAGATTCCCCATTTCAGTTCAGAAGAAAAGGCCACTGGGTTCTGAAACTTCTCCCTCTCACATCTGAAGAAGACCCCAGTGTTACTCATGATGGAGTTTGTTCATATTTGTTTTGTTTTTTTCTAAAATGAATTTTATTCTAGTGAATGGTTGTAGCTTCCCAGACCTTGGAGGATTAAATTCTCTATTGCCCCAGGAATAGGTCCAATACCAGCTACCAAATACCTCAGTGCCCAGCTGAGCTGCCTCACTCCCCCCCTCCACTGACCCTCATGCCCGCCGCTTGCTCACAGCGTCCCTCCTCACTTCCCCACCCCTTTGTGGGAGAGGTGTAGTGCAGGTAGGCAGGCAGCAGCAGCAGGTGGTTGGTGGATGGGTGGGTGAGGCCTCATATCTCTTGGGGGTGCCTGGGCCAGGGAAGGGTCCTCAAAAGACAAATGAGCACTTACCAAAATAGTCCTTTTGATTTTCTTTTCACGTTTCCCTAGCCTTTGTCATGAGATTTTCTTGTTCTTTAATCAAAGAAAATGATCAGTATCTATCCACAAAAACACTGAGGGCGAGTGCTGGATACGCACTCCAAGAGGCAGGGGCTGAAACGGGGAAGGAAGTTGCTGCCTGATCCCTGCAGAGATGTAAGATACACTCAGGAGGGGGAGAGGGTGGGTGGGCATGGCCTTGTGTGATGTTACATCCCATATTTTTCACATAAATATTGTTATGATATGACTATGGCATAGCTAAGATATGTTTTATGCAAGATGGGTCATGTGCGGTATCATTGAACGGGTTATGATCTACTGAATGTGTTTATCCAATTTGTATACATGTATCGTTTCTGTATCTGAAGTTAGGAATATTGACTATGTAACAATTACAACTGTGTGTGTATTTGGGGGAACACCCACCAGACCGTCGGCAATCAGCCTGGATGGGCCATTGACAATAGAACTTTCAAGACACTAATCTCCTGCCTTCCGGAGAAGCTTCCTGGGATGCTGCTTTGACACTGCAAGGTCAGGTGATGAGGTCACCTGGTAAGGAGTCCCGCCTTGGACACTGCTGGTACTTTTCCACTAGAAACAAGGGATTCCCGCCTTATGTAAATTCTATTTAAGGCTGGGAAGTAAAGCAATCCAGGGTCTTCTCCACTGCCTGCCCGCCCAAGAAGGAAGACTGCTAAAACCACCTGGAGAAACAAAGGAACTAAGCAGGGGAAAGGCAAGGGCTGAGTCCGGGCTGAGACAGGCGTCTAGCCTGTAAAGGGACATAACTGGACCTCTGAGCTGCAGGAACTCTGCAACCTGCCCAAAACAACATTTGGGGTGAGAAATTACTATTTGTAACGTGTTTCTTCAGTGTACTAAGCTTAGTTTAACAAATTTATGTGGGCATAAGCTTTTGTGGGCTACAACCCACTTCATCAGATGCATGGAGTGAAAATACAATAAGCAGTATATATATTACAGCGCGTGAAAAGATGGGAGTTGCCTTACCAAGTGGGAGGTCAGTGTTAATGAGGCCAATTCAATCAAGGGGGAAGTGGCCCATTCTCAATAGTTGACAAGAAGGGGTGAATGTCAACAGAGGAAAAATTACTGTTTGTAGTGACAGGTTTCAGAGTAGCAGCTGTGTTAGTCTGTATCCGCAAAAAGAAAAGGAGTACTTGTGGCACCTTAGAGACTAACCAATTTATTTGTTTGTAGTGGTAACCTAATCACCTTGAATTGGCCTCGTTAGCACTACCTACAGTAATTTTCCCTCTGTTGACATTCACCCCTCTTGTCAACTGTTGAGGACAGTCAATCCACCTGGGGAGGCATTTTTTGAGCATCTCCCCCTGACATAGCTGCCGCCACTGGTTGGGGGTGGATTAATTAGCTCTCCTGCTGGCTTAGAGCCGATACACGAGAGCAGCATTTCTCAAATGTGGCCACTGTGGCCACATGAAGCCACCGGATGCTTTTCTTGTGGCCACAGCTAGCTGGGCGGTAATTGGGGGGGGGGAGCAGCGGCCCCCTCCCCCAGCGTCACCAGCAGGCATTGGGCCCTGTCCCCTTCTGGAGACACAAACGCTGGAGGAGCAGGCATCCAGTGTGTGTTCCCACCTTGCCGTGGGTGGTGGGGCTTGCGTTTCCCGCCTCAGCCCTGGTAGCGGCTGGCAGGCTCCAGCCCTGGCGCTTCGGTCTCCAGCCCTGACCCAAGACTCAAGGCCCCGCCCATTGCCCCAGCCCCCACGGCCTCCTCTGGCCCTGGATTCCAGCTGTGCAGCAGGCTCCAGATCTCTGCTGCAGACTCTGGGCCCCGGGCTCACCACCCCTCCCATCGCCACTGGCCCCCACTGCCGCCCTACCCACCTGCCACCTCCCATCCAGGGCTTAATTTGTCTCCCAGCTTGCTGAGTTTGAGTAAGTCTGCTTGCAAAGTGATATTTGTAGTTTGTGAATCACTTTTTGCTGCCTCCCAGCTCGCTAGCAAGTCTCCTGCTTTGAGGCATGATATTAACAAACGTACAAACATCACTTTTCACAGCAGCAGACTTACTCGCTAGCAAGTCATCTAAAACTAACACAACCAAAAAAAGCAAAAGAAACAATAATTAAAAAATAAAAAGACAAGAATATGCAAAGCACCTTATTGGTGTTTCTATTCTGTGTAGGTGCAGTAAAGAATACAGAGAACTGTACATTCTTATTATTGAGTCTGAAAAAAAATTATGTAAATAAATTACAATGATTTGGACATGGATATGTGCATATTTCTTTGTTTTTCCTAAAGTTAATTAAGTATTTTAGGAAATATTATCAGAGTGGCCACCAGAGGGAACCCCTGCACTAGAGAGCTCACAGTGGTGCAGCTGTATCAGCAGCCATAACCTAAGAGTGCTGTCTAATCTCTTGGTCTCTTTTTGGCCGAGCAAAATGAGGCCCTGCACTTAACTCGGTGGCACTGGTCTGTTTCGATGGCTGCATCTGTTCAATTCCAATATTTCAGGGGATTCTCTCCGGGGCCATCAGGAGAAGGCGGATGATTTTGCTAACAATTGGGAAAAGAGGAGGGGGAAATAGGGGACACTCCTGAGTGGGCAGAGCACCAGTCCCTGACCCAGAGCAACAGGAGCTTCGCTGCTGACATCCAGGTGCCCGATGGGGAGCTGCAGTCAGTGCCCACAGGGGGGAGCCAGCCAGGACATGGGCAGAGGGGATCCCTGAGAGGGGGCAGACACGAGGGGGGGTTAAATAGAGCCCAGGGGTGGGTTCATCTGGACCTACAGGTAACCAGAGGAACCCAGGGGCAAAGCTCTGACAGCTCCATGATCCGAGCGAGGGGAGCAGAGCTGGGAGCCCAGGGCAGGTCGCCAGTGAGCCTGGTGTGGAGAGACGAGACCAGCTCTGACCACCTGCTCCCTGTGCCAGTCGGTTACCAGAGCGGATCACACACAGAGTGTCCCCGGCTCCCGTCACCCCTGGATCCTCTGGAACAACCTGGAGTCTCCCTAGAAACCCCCCTTCTCCCCCCGCCCCGGGATCTGCTCGTCTCCTTTCTGTCCCCCCCGTGATCCTGTGGCTTCTAGGCAGGACGCCTGCATAGGGCTGGGAGAAGCTGCCCGTGCCCAGCGGAGGTGGGGCCCCCAGGGGGCAGGGTCTGGGGCAGGGGCCTGCAGATCGGTGGGTTGATCGCTAGGACCCAGGAGCGGCTGGGTGGCAACGATGGCCGGGCTCCTTGTGTCCCGGCCGCAGGAAGTGACTCGCAGCCGCTGCGGGGACTCTGGCTCCCGGCGAGATCCCCGCGCCCCGGCGGCTGGTGCTGGGAGCCCGGAGCCCGGGCTGCAGCCGGGAGAGGGGAACCTCCAGCCGGGCCCTGCCCGCTGCTCCCCGGGAGCCTCTCCCAGGGCAGAGCCCCCAGCCCGGCCAGGGCCCCTTCCCGGCCCGGCCCCTGCCCCGGGGGGGCCCCGCTCGGAGGGAAGGTAAGAGAGACCCGCCCCCCCCGGCACCCCCGGGCTGCAGGGGGCGGGTTTGGCCCCGGGCTGCTCCCCGCGGAGCCGGCTGCGATTCCCTGCCCCGGGCAAGCTGCCGCCAGCCCCCGGTGTGCGCGGGGCGGGGGGAGCCCGGCCGGGCGGGGCTGGGGCTGGGACAGACACACGGGGGGTGCCGCCGTCCGCTGCCCCCACCATCTGCTGCTTTGCAGCTGGTGTAGGTGCTGGTGTGAAGGGTGCCGGTCACTCACCTCTCCTGCATGGGAGGCCAAGGGGTCTCTGCTGGCCGTAGGGGGAAGGGGGGCAAAGGAGTCAAATGTGGGGGAGAGAATCCGTGCAGGGGCAAACTGATGTGCAGGAGGGTCAAAGCGCTGGAGGTAGGGAAGGAGATGGGGAAATCAGAGACCGGGGTAGGAACCAGGGTTAAGAAAAGGAGGACTTGTGGCACCTTAGAGACTAACCAATTTATTTGAGCATGAGCTTTCGTGAGCTACAGCTCACTTCATCGGATGCATACTGTGGAAAGTGTAGAAGATCTTTTTATACACACAAAGCATGAAAAAATGGTTGTTTACCACTACAAAAGGTTTTCTCTCCCCCCCACCCCACTCTCCTGCTGGTAATAGTTTATCTAAAGTGATCACTCTCCTTACAATGTGTATGATAATCAAGGTGGGCCATTTCCAGCACAAATCCAGGGTTTAACAAGAACGTCGGGGGGGGGGGGGGGTAGGAAAAAACAAGGGGAAATAGGTTACCTTGCATAATGACTTAGCCACTCCCAGTTTCTGTTCAAGCCTAAGTTAATTGTATCCAATTTGCAAATGAAATCCAATTCTGCAGTCTCTGGCTGGAGTCTGGTTTTGAAGTTTTTCTGTTGTAATATCGCAACTTTCATGTCTGTAATCGCGTGATCAGAGAGATTGAAGTGTTCTCCGACTGGTTTATGAATGTTATAATGCTTGACTCTGAAACCTGTCATTATGCAAGGGTTAAGAATGTGGCTAAGGCCCGGCCAGACAGTATCAGTGGGGAAACCCCAGGGTGTAGAGGGGTTAAAAGCGACAGCCATGGGGGTGAGCAATCTGCAGTGGTTGCAGAAAAGGATGTTGAGGTATAAAGGGGCTCCCCTCCCCCTTGGGGGATGCTACATCTCAGCACCCGCTCCCAGGGCTGGGTTCTCACGCAGTTGCATCCCAAGGCCCAGAGGCATGGAGCTGCTCAAGGAGACCTGATTCTGTACAATATTTCACAGCCTCCCTCCCCTCCCAACGTTTTAGTGTTTAAAATAATCCCTGATCAGTTGCTAGCTCTGCATAATGCCTCATAGGTGCAGCAAGGTGCCTGGTCTGCCTAGGGATCCATGAATGGGAACCCTTCTGCTGGCGTCTAAATGGGCTGGGATGTAGGAGACCCAGGTTCAATGCCCCCCTCAAGCAGAGGAGGAAAGCAGGTTTGAATAGGGGTCTCCCACATCCCAGATGAGTGCTGAAAGATAGAAGGTGGGACAGCAACACGGGGGGAGGTGGAAGGGGGCTGAAGAGGGCAGGGAGTGTAAGTAAGGGGGGATTGACAGGGGAACAGAGACGTGTGAGGCTGGGGGCAGTAGGGGATGCAGGGGGCAGGAGGGTATGGTGGCAGGGGGTAGTGGTTGCACTGAAGGGAGGATGGGGTGATGCCGGGGAATGGGGGGGATTAAGGGGCTGAAGGGAACAAGGCTGGAATAGAGGGAAGATGTGAGGGGGGGTCACTGTGAGGGAAAGGAGGATGTGGGGAGGGGAGGCTGTGAGGAGACTGGCTGGGGAAGGGAGAGCCAGGGGGCAGGGATAAGGCGGAAGGGTGGAGAGCGATACAAGGCAGCTTCCCCGCCCGATGGGGTAAGGGAGGTTGAGGGGGCTGCCCTGCCCAGCGGCCAGTGGGGATTTGTTCCCCTACAAATGGTCAAACCAGCAGTGGGGGGGTGGGCGGGGTGACCATCCGTCCTGAATTGGGCAGGACAGTCTTGTAATCCAGAGTTCAAGTCCCGGTCCTGGGCTGAAGGACTCCCGGACACCATTTGTCCTGGATTCCCTGCGGCATGGCTCGGTGCCTGCCCGAGGTCCAGGGGCAGCGCCAGCCTGTTCCCCGGGGTGGGGCTGAGGTGGGTCTTAGCCCCCCTTCATGATGAGGCCCCACCCCCTGCTTCTCCTCTTTTCCCCAAGGCTCTGCCACCCGGCCAGGCCAGAAGCTAGATCCAGGCCATAATAAGAGCCGCCCAGGCTGCATTAGGGAGCCCCAGACCCTCCACCCGCCCTGGGTGGCGCACCCTGAGGCGGTGGGCACACATGCCATGGCTGCTCTTGAATACCCCAGCCCCCTGCCCAGGGAAGGTGGAGGGTCCGGGGCTCCCTGGGCAGCTCTTATCACAACCTAGCTTCTGGCCTGGGCAGGGCCTCAGGAGAAGGAGCAGCAGGGATAGGAGGATAGGATAGCAGCCTCAAGGGATAGGAGGGGCGGGGCCATGGAGGGGGCGGGGCTCCTACATGTGTCCCGCTTTTGCCCTTTGAAAGGTGGTCAGCCTAGGGATACAGGTAGGGGGTGGGCAGGAGACTTCCCCCGAAGGGCTGAGAATTTACGAGGCAAATGTCCACTGAGAACTCCTCCCTCGCTCCGCACACAGCCTGCTCCCCATTTCATATTTGTGTTTAAAGAAGGTCTCCTTATTGGGGGGGGTCTGACTCCTGGGTTGACGGCACTGAACAGGGGCTGGTCTGATTTCTGTGCAGGATTCGGTGTCCAACCAGAGTCGCTGCAAGCAGTGGAATTGCGGTTTGGTTTGGGTTCAGTGGCAGTCGGTGTGTTCGGTTCTAGTTCAAGACACCCCAAAATGGTTCTGTTACCAGTTAGTGCCCTAGAAGGGGGAAAGGGGGTTGGGAGTGATCCCTGTGGCTTGCTTCAGTGGGGAACTGAATTTGGGGCCTGGGGCCTGCCTCAGGTGGGGCAATTGGAGGGAGGAGCTGCCCTAAGGGGTGGGGATGGGTGAGAGGAGGCCTGTCCAAGGGGAAGAAGAAATGAGCAGCCTTTTCCCTTGCGCTTGAAGAGTTAATGTTAACTCCTGGGACAGGGAGCCCCCACTTCTCTCCCCCCTCCCTCCCTGCTCTTCTCCTTCTCTTTTTCTGCTGGGACAGGCTGTTCTGGTAGCAACCACATGCCTGGGTTGTCTTGTTTTATGATGAGTGAGATCAGAGTAGGTTTTATTTTATTTTGTCAAATATCAAGCTGAAAAATTGCTGAAACTTTATTTTAACTGGAAGCCATTTTTCCCTGAGTTCGATTCAGGCTCATTGAGGAAGAGGGGAAAATGATGGTTTGAGTCTGGTTCCAGTTCAGTTAAGCATATCTGTTCAAGCTGGTTCTCTGGTTCTGTTCTGGTGTGAGTCCAGGTGGGCAAATGAAATCTGCAGCTGCTGAACTGTCCTCATAAGGGGGTCTGCGGGGCTGGCTATTGCTATGGAAGAGGAGGTTGGTGTCTGTCTCTGTGTGCTCATGATTAAGGCTGCGAGTTTGTCATGGACTTCATGGATTCCGTGACTTTCCATGACTTCTGCAGTGGCCGGTGCAGCTGGCTCCAGGGATGCCCAGCAGCTCAGGTCCCTGGGCCAGTCTCACCAGCCACTGCTGGGGCAGTCGTCAAGGGCCAGCACCCCTGCCCCCAACAATAGCAGGAGGAGTTTATGTGTGGGAGGGGGCTCAAGGCTAGGGGTTGGGGTATGGGAGAGGGCTTTGGGAGACGCTTACCTACTGGAGGCTCCCCGGAAGTGGTAATCGGTCCCTCCCAGGATATCAGCTGTGAGACCCTGTTGGGGAGTGACTGTGTCTCTTTGGGACAGGATCCAGGCCCTGCTCCTGTAACTGCCAAGGGTTTGAATTTGAATCCAGGGAGCCAATCGGTGGAGAGGGAAATGGTCAGTGAAAATGCAGATGACCTGGCTGGCAGCGGGGAGGAGCTGCTAGGCTCAGGCTACCTGCATGCCTGTAACCAGACCCCTGGGGCTGGGTGGGACAGAGAGATGCTTCCCGCCCCCTTGCACACCAGAGAGGGGGCTCACACTGGCTCTGATGCAGTGAGGAAAGCAGCAAGCTCGTTGCCTACCCGCACTGGGACAGCAAGGGCAGTGCTGAGCACAGTGGGAGCTGAGACCCCAGCTGAGTGGGGGGAGACACAGGCAGGGCAGGGTATCTGTTGGGAGTGGCAAAGGTGCTTGGTAAGGAAAGTTTGGATGAGCCTAGGCAGCCTTGTGAGCTGATGGCTTTGTCTAGTCAGCAGTGTGGGAAGGCGAGGAGAGTGGAAGATGAGTGTCCCTGGACCTTACCTGTTACCTGCGTGGAGAAGTGTGACAGTGAAGGAAACGTGCCTGTGTCTGTCAGGGGTATTAACTTGCCTATGGAGGGAGCTACCCTGATCTCCAAGCAGTTGTCTGTGACCAGCCTTGTGTGCTGGGACAAGGGGAATGAGATCTCAAGCTGTGTGTCTGGTAAAGGAGAATGTGTGTCCGGCTCTTCTTTGTCTGTGGAGCAGACAGAAGGGGCCTTTCGGCCTGTGATGGTTGAGAATAGTGCAGTTGTCTCAGAGTTGGTTCTGGATTCAACTAAAGCCCAGGAAGGGAATGCTCCTAAGTTTATGTCTGCTAGGGAGAATGGCCCTGTAACTAGGTCGCAGCCAGTTAGTGTCTGTGCAAAATCCCAGAGCCCAGACTATTCTGATGCTTGTATTTTGCCTGTTGCTAGTGTGTTGTTGGGAAAGGGTGTAGCAACTCTGTCTAATCAGAGTGAGATCCTAGCCAGGGCACAAGGCAAGCAGAAAGGTGATTTGATCGTGTTACCTACTGAGGGTGTGGAAACCTGTAGCAAGTAGGAGAAGATTCCTGAACTTGTGTGTGGCAAAGGGAAGGAGAATGCTTCCAACCTTTTATCTAGGAAATCTGTAAGTTTGCCTGAAGGGGGATTGTGTAGGAATCCGCCTGATGCGCCAGAGGTAATTCTGGATGTAAGTGAGACCCAGAAAGAGTCTGTTGTTGCTTAGGAAAGAGTTCCTCGAGAGCAAGCACTAGGTGAAGAGGGTAAGAGCAGAATTTCTGTGAGAGGTGAATTGTTGCATAGAAAAGCCCTACGGAAAGGAATCCTCATGGTAGTCTTTGCAAGCAGTTTACTGCAGCTGAAGGGTGTGAAAGTGATTTAATCAAGAAAATTTCAGTTCCTAACAGCCAGAAATTTTCTGTTGTGAATGGATCCACTGACTGTCCTGTTGAAAGATCCAGTGTGGATAGCTTTGAGAAGGTCTCAGATGAAGTGAAAGCTGTTAAGAAAGTTAAACAGTCCTATAACCCAGTGGCTGTGTTTGGCCAGCTTGTTGGGGAGACAAGGTTGTTGAGAAAGGGATGTCTCCATGCTAGTTCTATCAGTGAACAGTATGTGGCCCAGGTCAAGATGGGGGCTCTTAACCAAGAGAGCCCGAATGGCAGTCCTCCACACTGGAGCGCTGGGAGAAAACCCGATCCCAGTTTGACCCCCGGGGGTTTTGGGGTGGCAAAAGGGCATGGGCCGCATAAACCTTCCCACATGCGGCATACAAGTGCTATCGACCACCCCCGACCTAAGGGAGGGCATGAAACTGGAAGGGCGTAAAACTGGAAGGGCCTGGTGTAATTCCCACCAAGGAATGGGAGAGATGCTGGGGCATCCATGGGAACGTAGGTGGCTTCGAACTTCCCTAGGTCACCGGCTAAAGTGACCCCACTCAGTTCGATCTCGAAGGGGGGAGAGATGTGACGAAGTGGGACTGTTCTTAATGTTTCCTCTGAATAGTGTGGGGGTGCCTCAGTTTCCCCTATGCAGTTCTTAAGTATCTAGGTGGTGGGATAAGGGTGTATGATCAGTGCAGAGCCCTAGAGGGCAGGTGTGTGCAGGGATCTGGACACAGAGAATGTCCAACACCCTGTTTCCTGGCAACTGATGGCCTGGGCCCTCCCCCCCTGCCAGGTGAGAGCTAAAGGGTTGGAGAACAAAGGAATCTGGTGATCTCCTGGCTCGGGAAAGGGACAAAACCCAGAGGAGGAGGGGCTGGAGAGAGTTTCAGTTTGGGGCTGGCTGGAGACATGGAGTGAAGGGCAGACGTGGTTGTCTGGCTCACTGACCCCCAAAATGGACCCGGCTGAGGGGTCCTGTTCTCTGCACCTACAAGCTCTGTGTTAGACCGTGTTCCTGTCGTCTAATAAACCTTCTGTTTTACTGGCTGGCTGAGAGTCGCGTCTGACTGCGGAGTTGGGGTGCAGGACCCTCTGTCTTCCCCAGGACCCCGCCTGGGCGGACTCGCTGTGGGAAGCGCAGGGAGGGGCAGAGGAGGCTGAATGCTCCGAGGTCAGACCCAGGAAGGTGGAAGCTGTGTGAGCTGCGTGTCCTGCAGACAGGCTGCTCCCAGAGAAAAGACCTCACCAGAGTCCTGCCTGGCTTCGTAGGGAGCAGTTCCAGAGCATCGCCCGGGGACTCCGTGACAGAGGGGGCTCAAGGCTAGGGGTTGGGGCATGGGAGAGGGCTTTGGGTGACGCTTACCTACTGGGGGCTCCCCGGAAGTGGCAACAGGTCCCTTCCTTGGCTTCTAGCTCCACATGCAGCCTCCACCTGCAGGCACTGCCTCCGCATATCCCATAGGCTGCAGGTCACAGCCAGTGGGACCTACGGGGCTGGCAGTTCATGGAGCTAGGAGCTTAGGGAGGGACATGTCCTGGGGCACGGGAACACTTTGAATAGTGGGGGTAGTGAAAGCCAGTGCCTGTACCCATGTCTGTCCCCCCCAGCTGGCAGCCAGGGCACAGGGGGGCCGGGGTGAAGGGCTGGGACCCAGGACTGGGACTTGGAGAGCACAATGGGCTGGGACCCAGCCGGTGAGGTGGGCCAGCTCCCAGGCACGGGAGGCTGGCAGCGGAGTCCCGGTTAAAACCTGCATCACCTGCACCCCTAATTTTGCGCTTATGGACATGTTGTGAGAAGCCAGGTAGGGAGCCTGCCAGCCCCTGCCCTCCCCCATACCAGCGGGGGTCAGAGGCTGCTCCCACCAGAGCACCCACCCCAGAACACTGTCCCCCCAGCACCCGCGGTGCCCTCTGGGCCACCCCCCCCAGCACCCGCAGCCCCCCCAGAAGCACCTGTGGCACTCCCAAGAGTTAGTCAGGGGTACGGTACAAGTCATGGACAGGTCACAGGCCGTGAAGTTTACAGCCTGTGACCTGTCCCTGAGTTTTACTAAAAATACCCATGACTCTAAGGGAGCTTTGCCCATTATATTAGCGCCCGGGAGTTAATTGAGCTTCCTGGGTCAGCTGATGCTGCCTCCTGCATTGTGATCTGGAGCTCAGACTGAGCAGCTGCTGCTCCCACAGTGGGGTCTGTGCCAGGGAGAGACCTTCATTAATCCCCCTCTGTGTTCAGCCCAGGGGGGACTTTCTCTGTGCCTGAAACCAGCCCCTGAGCCCGAGCCTGCAGGGGATGGGGAGAGACCCAGGGGACAGGGCTGGGGCCAGGCAGGAAAGTGACTCTGCACAAAGGGCCCCTTTCAGTGAGTTTGCTGGTGAGTTTGTACCGAACGGGGAGGGGGCTCCCTGTGTGTCTGCGGGTCCCAGAGCTGCTGCTCTCAGTGACACAGCCAGGCTCACACTGGAGAGTGAGCACCCCTGGGAATGGGACAGTCCCCAGTTCTCCCAGGCAGAGGCGGGAGGGACGGAGACAGGAAGGGGAATGGTGAGACCGAAAGCGGCAGCAGGAGCTAGAAGTGGGGAGGGAGGATCCCAGCTCCCAGGCCTGCCCGGATCCATTTCCTGCATCACCCCTGGGCAGCCTGACTCTCCTGGGAACAAGGGGAGGAGCTGACAGAGGAAAAGCCAGGTTCTGCCACCAGTCAAGTCACTGTGCTGCTGGGGGGGACACACTGCCCTCGGGGCCAATGTCAGGGGGGAATCACCCAAAGTGGCTCCTTTGATTCTGCTCTTTTCTAGCATTTGTCTCAGAGACTCTGCCCTGGGAGGGTTTAAAGGTGTCTCGGGAGGTTCAGTGCTGGAGGGAGGGGCCGGGTCTGTGTTGTAATAAAGTGACTGAGGGTTTTCCCAGCGTGGCAGAGCCCAGAGCGTCTGTCTGCAGGGAGGCAGCCTGGGGGGAATCGGGGTGTGAAATGGACTCAAGCCCCTTCTGAAACCTCCCCCCGTCGCCCCTCTCGCCCTGACAGGCTGAGGAATCACGTCCACGTTTCGCTCCAGATCCTCCCGTCTTCCAGGGGACAGGGACGGGAAATGGCTGTGATGGAGCCAGCTCAGGTAGGGGATTTTCAGGGAGCTGCAGGGGGGAGTTGCTGTAGAGGGGGAGGGGCAGGAAACACATAGGGGGAGGTGGGGAGGGGCCAGGGTGTGATAAACCTGCTGGGGCACGTTCAACTTGGAGCCTGATTTTCTGAACAGGCCCATTGGCGGGTCGGGGGAGGGGGAAACATTCCCCCATTTCTGAACCAGGAAACACCCCCCTGGGCAGGGCTGGGAAAACTGACCAGACTCCCAGTGCTGGAGCCTGACCCCACTGGCCAGAGGCTGCTGTGAAGTACGAAGGGAAGCTGTCGGGATTCCTGTCCCTGTCCCCGGCTCAGAGCTCTGCTTCCCGTCTCAGCCTGTGGCTGGCAGGCGAGTGGGAAATGAGAAGACCCTGCCCAGCTCCGTGTGCTGGGGGGACGGGGGGGGACAAGGAGCTCTCACCTTCTCCCCACCTCCTGAAGCCTCCTGGCTGCTTGGTGGGGGGGGGATTCTGCTCCTCCGGCCCGCCCAGAGCTTCCATTTTATTGACCTTTCTCCCATGAACAGTGAGATTGTGGCTGGGGCAGCAGGTGCTGAGGGGGGACTCTTGTTTCAGATGCCGGTGACCTTCGAGGAGGTGGCTGTGTATTTCACCCAGGGGCAGGGGGCTCTGCTGGACCCCGCTCAGAGAGCCCTCTACAGGAACGTCATGCAGGAGAACTACGAGATGGTGACCTCACTGGGTAAGTGACACCCGTCCCTTTGGTTATTGGAAGCCATGGGGTCTGCGTTTCTGAATCTGTTTTTTCCACGGTCACGTAGTCCCCAGCTCCAGTGTGGGAGAGAGACTTTCATCTCTATACCCCCTCCTATGGGATTGGGGAGTCATAAACCCAGTGCACATGCTGATTCATCCCCATCCCTCCAACTTTCAAGGGGGCAGAAGCATTGTATTATCCTGTCTGGTTTAACTCTCACTCAGTTCCCCTCCTTTCCTGGGACTAGCTCCAGCCATGGGGAGGGCTCTGGAGATTTCACCATATGCAGGGTTTAACTCCTGAGCTGAGTCTGCCTCAGCAAGTCCCCCCAAGTGCACAGATTCTGGAAAGCCCTTGGGATGGCTTGACAACCATCACCTCCAAACTGCTCCCCCCAGATATTTGCCTCTCCCAAGGGGGCTCAGGGACCACGTCCCCCCAGCACAGCATGGAGTCTGGTTAAACTCAGGAATGTTCTTTGTGACAAATATTCCTCCAATATCTGATGCGCCCTGACCTTGCCTGATTTCACCCCCTGCGCAGGATTCCCCATTCCCAAACCTGAGCTGATCACCCAGCTGGAACGAGGGGAAGAGCCGTGGGTCCCGGATCTCCAGGTCGCCAAGGAAAGGGAGAGCCCGAGAGGCACCCGCACAGGTGAGGAGTTGGTGAGACTGACACGAAAACCATCTGAAGGAAAAAGCTGAGACTCCCAAAAATGTACTGTGAGGTCTTCCTCATCTCCCACAGGTCAGGCTGTAGTCAGATTTCACTCACCGTCTCCCACGCACCCTATTAGCTGTCAGGAGTTTCCTTCCTGATTTTACTTCCCAGTGAGTGTTTGGATGGGGATGTGGAGAAAGAATCCAATTTCTCAGTCTCCCTACCTTTAGTCTGTTGAGTTTTCCCTCTTTGCTATTCCCCTTTCTCCCCTGCACAGACATTGACTCCTGTCTGGATTCTTTCTCCCAGCAGACGGTGAGAGAGTGAGTGTGAATGAGGAGGACAACCAACAGCAGGAAGTTCCTGGGGAAGTGGAACCATGGGGGATCTTTCTGAGAAGAGCTGAAGGGAATTTTTCCCAGTGCTTGGAACAGGGAGAAGCCTGGGGAAATCGGGGCACGTCAGAAAAACAGCTGGGAAAAGTGACAAAAGTGGATGAATCCATTCATTGTGGGGCAGGATGCAAGGATCCTGAGGAAACCACAGTCCAGCAGACAAGTCACAAGGAAGAGAAACCCTGTAAATGTCCCAATATTGAGAATAGATCTCAAATGAGTACAAACCTTATTTCTCATTGGAGAAACCATGCCGGAGAGAGACCTTATATATGTCTTGATTGTGGGAAATGTTTCAATCAGAAGTCAACGCTTGTTAGGCATCAGACAGTCCACACAGGAGAAAAACTCCATAAATGCTCGGACTGTGGGAAAAGCTTCAATAGATGCTCATACCTCGCAATACATCAGAGAATCCACACGGGATTCAGACCCTATAAATGCCTTGAATGTGGGAAGTGTTTCAGTTGGAAGTCAAGCCTTATTACACATCAGAGAACCCATACAGGAGAGAAGCCCCATAAATGCTTGGACTGTGGGAAAAGTTTCATGCACAGATCTGACCTTATTAGACATCAGAAAACCCACACAAGAGAGAAACCCCATAAATGCTTGGACTGTGGGAAAACGTTCACACAGAGATCAACCCTTGTTGCACATCAGAGAATCCACACAGGAGAAAAACCCTTTAAATGTTTGGACTGTGGGAAATGCTTCAGCCAGAGTTCATATCTTACTTCACATCAGCAAATCCACACAGGAGAGAGAACCTATAAATGCCTCGACTGTGGGAAATGTTTCAATTGGCAGTCATCATTTATTACACATCAGAAGATCCATAGAGGAGAGAAACCCCATAAATGTTTGGACTGTGGGAAAAACTTCAGTAGCAGCTCAGACCTCGCTAAGCATCACAGAACCCACACGGGAGAGAGACCCTACAAATGCTTGAACTGTGGGAAAAGTTTCAATAACAACTCAAACCTTCGTAAACATGGGAAAATCCACACTGGTGAGAGACCTTATAAATGCTTCGATTGTGGGAAATGTTTCATTTGGAAGTCAAACCTTACCAGACATCAGGGAGCTCACACAAGAGACAGGTCCCATACCTGCTTGGAGTGTGGGAAAAGTTTCATCCAGAGATTGGACCTTACGCAACATCAGACAATGCACAAGAGACAGGAAACATAAATGCTTGGATTGTGGAAAAAGTTACATTAAGAGAGCAAACCGTATTACACATCAGAGAACCCACACAGGAGAAAATCCCCATACATGCGTGGACTACCTAGGGCCATTCACCCGTGTGGCTTCTCCGATGTTCAGTAAGGTTTGAGCTCTACCTGAAGCTTTTTCAGTAAGAGCTCAAACCTTACTGAGCATTGGAGAAGCCACATGGGTGAGCGGCCCTAAAAATAGCTTGGCTGCAGGAAAAGATTCAAATTGACTTCACGCTTCAGTGACCCACGCAACAGAAAGACCTGGAATGTGGGGGAAGGTTCATTTGGTGCTCCCGGAGTATCAGGCATCGGCAAATCCGCACAGGGAAGAAACCTCTGAGATGTTCTCAGTGTGGAAAATGCTCCAAGTGGAGCTAACACCATTTAGGACATCAGAGACTCCTCCACACAGCAGGGAAATTCTCTGAATGCCCTGACTGGGGCCATCCATGGTCACAAACCCATTTCCTCATTTTCCGTACACATCAGGGGCATTCGGCTCCCAAGGATGCATCTGCCCCCTGCTGGGGTGAGGATCCAGCAGCAGCCAAGCTTCAGCTGCTCAGTGACCCTCTGGCTCTGCCTGGTCCAAGCAGACCCCAGGAGAGGAAGAGAAGCCCTCATCAGCCCCTTCTCCCTGCTGCAGGCCTGGCTGCTGAGCTGATGGGCTACAGGTTGGAGAAGGGAGAGAGAAAAACTCCTCCAGCTGCTCCCTCTGCCTGGCAGAAGTTCCCCCCCATCTCTCTTCCCCTCCCAGTCGGGATCCCCCTGCCATGGAGATGAGAAGAAGGATACTTGGGCCAGGCCCCACCTTCACTCTAGAACCCTGTCCCCACCCCACATTTTCCACCAGCCCCTGGGCTGGGCTCCCCTACTGACCTGGAACTGTTCTCTGCAGGGGGAGTGTCCCTGAGGGCTGGTAACTCCTCCCCTCCCCAAATGCCCCAGGGTGCTGGGCTCTGGGGGATCAAATATTTAGGGACTAGGCCGATGGGTTATGGGGAGGACACTGGGGATGGAATGGTTGGGGCTGGTGGAGCTGGGAAGCAGGAGGAGCTGGGTGCTGGGGCTATTGAGTGTTTGGGGATGATGGGATAAGAGGCGAGGGAGAGCACAGGGGTAGAGAGGTGCTGCCTCTCCTCACTCACCCCCTCTGCCCCTACTCCCTGCCCCCGCTGCATTCAGACAGCACCACTGAGAGGGGCTGATTCCCACAGGGCCTTTTGTTGGAAGCTTGGATTTCCCACCTCTGCCTCGCAGCGGCAGCGTCCAAGGGTCTGTCTATGTTTGGGACTAGCTAGCACATCTCTGAAACTCGACCAGATTGCCAAATCCAGACTGACCCTGACCATTGAATTTATTCTGATCTTGTGACAGTCTGTACCCCTATGTTCACCCCTTTTACAAGACTATGATAAATTGTATACAAAGCCTGCCACATGAGGTATCATTTGAAAACTGATAATATGCTGATCATTATTGTCCAGTTAGAATATGTGTGGCAGTATGGTATGTAAAGTTTTAAGATTCTACTAGGGGCAGCCGCAAACCAGTTCCTCAGAGATAAAAGTTGGTGGCCATTGTTTGGCAGGAACCAGGGTGTGATCGAGAAATCTACATTTTCACAAAGAAACAACTTGACATTCCCATCCACACCGACTTTGTCTCCCGAACCTCAGCCAGATCAAAGGAGAAAGAGAACTATAAGAAAGAGGACCAGACGTCCCCAAATATTCCTCCCTTTCTCTCTACCCACGGCAGCCACAACACCTGAAGAACAAAGAAACCGCTTTGAACCCGAGGGAGGGATCCTGTCTGAAAGAGATCCAGTCAGTGAAACTGCTGAAGAATGTGGTGAGAGAGACTTTTGTTTTGAATTCACTTAGCTCATTAAGTTAGGTATGAGTTGTGTTTTACTTTTATTTTCTTGTAACCAATTCTGACTGTTATGCCTCATTACTTAAACAAATTACTTACTTAGATTATTTAAAATCTTTCTGTAGTTAATAAACTTGTTTTATTGTTTAAACCAGCGGTTTGGATTGAAGTGTTTGGGGAAACGCCATTTGAGATAAAAGGATTTGTACATATTGTTTTCTATTAATAAAATGACGGACTTTCTATCAGCTTGTATTGTCCAGGAGAAAGTCTGGGCAGTACAAGAGGTGCATTCCTGGGGAAAGTCTGGGACAGGGAATTTGCTGGTGTCACTCTGCAGTGTAATTTTAGATGGATCACTTGATGATCACCTGTTCTGTTCGTTCTCTCTGGGGCACCTGGCACTGGCCACTGTCTGAAGACAGGATACTGGGCTAGATGGACCTTTGGTCTGACCCCGTATGGCCATTCTTGATTCAGGAGTGGCTGGCTATAGCGTTCATGCGGTATAACTGGGAGTGATTTATATGCTGGACAGACCAGGAGTGGCTGCTCTCACTGTGAAGCAGTGTAAAAGGCACCCCAGGTTGGAGAATTGAGGGAACACAGCTGTTCAGCAGTCCAGATTGTACCCTTGGTAATGTCACAGATTCTCCACCCCCCTCCCCACCATTATGAGAATTATTGTTAGAGTCACTGAGTTCCCCCTGTGGGGGTACATTTTTTCATTCCCAAATAGTATCATATTACTCCAGGTTATGTTGAAAAGCATTTATTGTTTGTACATTTTATCCCATATTTGCCAGAATGTTATACACGGACAGTAAAAGGTGGTGTTTTAGCTTCTATGTTATTTGAGAGCAGTGGGGTGAGTCAGAGGGATTCCCTCTTTCCTCCGCCGCTGTCACGCTCCACCGGATTCAGCAGCCTCTGTCTAAGCCTTGGAGAGTTTTATCCTCTCCCTATTCTACCCCTCCACCTCCCGAAGTGTCACTTGCCACAGTGTCCTTGGCTCTCCATGCTTAGGAATCACACTTTGATTTCCCTGATCCTAAATCAGACTCCTGAGGGCTGAAAAGAAAGTGTCACAGATCTGCAAGGGAAATTCAAATGAACCTCAAAGCACAGTTTGAGCTTTTTGAACTTACAGCCCTGTTTCCATCGATTAGTAAAATTCCTTCCGTACTTTTTCTAGACTAGTCTAGATCATTTGTGGGTAGACAGTTTTTTTTTTCTCTTTTATTATGATGATGCTAAAACTTTTGTAACGAATAGAACCAAATCAGGAGGCAAGAAGGGAAGCCGGTTTAGCCAGTTCAGAAGAAAATAGGCAAATTTACTTTCCTGATTTTCAGTCTTAAAAGATTCTCTGAGATTTCACATTTACAAATGTGAAAGTGTTTTATAGCCCACCCTGGATTGTCGGTTTCTCACTCTTCCTGAAGGCCGTTTGGTCACATACTTTGATATTAGTTTAGTTTGACAGGATGTAGCTCAGATTTATTGAGGAAATCACGAGACAAATGTTCATGTGCCAGAAAAGTCCTTTATTTTATCTTAACCTTGTTCTACCCTTTGTCCTGGGATTTTTGCCTGATTTGAACAATGACAATGATCAGTATCAGCACAGACACTGAGGGTGCGAGCTAAAGTTACATCCCATCCCAACAGGCGGAGACTGAAACGTTGAATGAAGTTCCTTCCAAATCCTTGCAGTGATCTGAGATACAGTCAGAAGGGGGAGAGGGTGGGATGGGAGAGGGAACAGAGCTAGGAAAATGCAAGGTTTGCTTGTGAGAGTGAGCCAGCTGAGGTTGAGAACCATGAAATCACTGCTCCAGTGCCAGAGGGGGGGGGGGGGGGAATGATGAGTGAAGCCATTCCTGAAATCTAAAGGGCTGCTGAGAGGATGAGGTGGTGTAGAAGCAAGAAGGGAGCCGGGGATGTCAACGGACCTGGCCAGCCTTAAAAGCCAGGCCGACCCCCCTTATTGAGGCCAGATGGAGATGAGGAGCCCCAAAGCCGAGCTACTCAGCCCCTCCCCATCTACCGCAGTGTCCTGTGTGGAGACGACAGCAACGCTGTCTGCCCCACTCACCCCACCTTGCATCCCTCTAACCTCAAGGCCCCATGGTGCTGGGTGCTGTACACACACAACATGAAAGACAGCTCCTAAGGAAAAAGAGATGACCATCTAAATCTACGCTTTTGTAGGTGTCGGGGGTGTTTCCATGCTCAAGGCTGGTCACTGAAAGCAGGTATTTGACTTCCGTTACATGTGAAAAACACGGGTTTGTCTCCCCCAGGATTACAGCCCTTACTCATAGCATACGGAACACCTTTTCAGAGAAGGTAAAAGGAAATCTGTCAATGACTTTAGCAATAAACGTTAAACACGGGTCTGTTCAGACCTACAGCACCGACTGTCAGACCGTACCACCTAGCGATGCCATGCGAAGCCCCACGCTGTTATGATTAGGGCCCTACCAAATTCACGGTCAGAGGATTTTAAAAAATGGTAAATTTCATGATTTCTGCTATTTAAATCTGAAATTTCACGGGGTTGTAATTGTGAGGGTCCTGACCCAAAAAGGAGTTGTGTGTGTGTGTGGGAGGGGGGGGTTTGCAGTATTGCTACCCTCCCGTGCTGCTGCTGACGGCGGCGCTGCCTGCAGGGTGGAGCAGCTGCAGAGCAGCGGCTGCGGGCCGGGAGCTCAGGGCTGAGGGCAGAGCCGCGGCCAGCAGCGGCGCAGAAGTCCGGGCAGCATGGCATGGGATGGCCACCCTTCTGCGCTGCTGCCTGCAGAGCTGAGCCCTCGGTCAGCAGCCTCCCAACTCTGAAGGCAGCAGCGCAGAAGTCGGGATGGTAATACCATGAGCTCCCAGAATAGCTTTGTGACTCCTGCCACGCTCTTTTGTGTCAGGCCCCCCCCCGTCGGAGTAACACTGCTCTCCCGCGAAGACCAGGTTTCATGGGGAGAGACCAGATTTCACGGGCCGTCACGTGTTTTTCATGGCCTTGAATTTAGTAGGGCTCTGTTTATGGTTAAGAGATGTGAGTGGTCTGAGGCCCCGATTATACTGTACTGATTTGTAAAGCACATTAGACTTTCGGGCAAGTTTTTCAAAAAACACCTTGGGGCTGGAGTTTTCAAAGGTATTAGGTACCTGTGGATGCGATGGGGGGCCTCGTGGGGTTTTCAAAGCAGGTTTAGGCACATAGGGCTAGATCCACAAAAGGGCTTGGTGCCTAAATGCCACGTATTGTTTCATATTCTCTGTGTATATATAAAGTCTGCTGCAGTTTCCACGGTATGCATCTGATGAAGTGAGCTGTAGCTCACGAAAGCTCATGCTCAAATAAATTGGTTAGTCTCTAAGGTGCCACAAGTACTCCTTTTCTTTTTACGTTAGGTACCGGAATCCAACATTTAGGTGTCACTCATCCTCAAAACCCCTGCCCAGCTGCTGCCCAACGCAGTAGGTGTCTGGAGTCCCGATGTGCTTAGATTTCTTCTAAGTCCTCCAGGTGCTAAAAAATCTACTGGTCATGTGCACAGCTGCTTCAGTCTAGGTACCTGGGTACTGATCTCATTCCTAAGCCTCAGGCTTGCTGTTCCCCTGCCCTGTCTCGCACATGGGACCCAGCATAACAGGCTCTTGAGCAAATTGTCGGCAGTCTGTAGATAGCAGGGCTTTAAAACACTCCAGATGGAGGAGACAGTGAGCTTCCTCCTGCAGACGCTTGGCTTGGCAGCAGCCATGGTCCCTTCTGGGAAGAGGAGCCGCCCCTAGATTTTCTGCTGGGCCATAGCCTGGAACAACAGTTGGACATTCCCCTCCCTGACGCAGATTGGCGCTTGCTGAATGGAGCGAGGCTCTAGGCAGTGGTACAGCTCCTGGGTTTCGGGTGAGACTCTGACCCGCTCTAACTAAGGATTAAAGGGAGCTAAGGCCTGGACGAAGCAGGCAGGACCAGGGGGATTGCATTCCCCCTGGGCCAAAACACCAATAGGGTCAGATGCTGCATGTTAATAAGATGAGAGAGTCAAGGAAACAGGCCTGGTGCGTACTCTGTAAATAAATAAATACAAATCACACTCCATCCCCTCACTTATATCCACATGAGCTCCTCGCCTGTTGAAGTCGCAGCTACAGGAGCCATGTTTGCCTGGGTAGCAGGGCCTGTGGGGGCCGGACACCAACATGGAGCTAGGTGGGTTGCCCCAACTATGGCCGAAGCCATGGAAGGAAGCAGGGGTGGTCCCAAAATCTGCCACCTTAAGCAGCTGTCTAGAGCAGCCTGTGGGTGTTGCCTCAGAAGCCCTGAGCGGGGGTAGGATCCCAGCTCAGACTTTTAAGCTGGAGACTTGGGGGGAATATCCCAGGGAAGACCTGGGCCTGTTGTAATAATTGGAGCTACAAATTTGCATCAGTGGGATGTAAAAGTTTGTAAGGTGTCACAATGGCTTATGATAACAAATGCTGATGGGAAAAGCTACGCAAACCAGACAGAGAGATTACATTAGTCCAGCGTTTTTCAAAGTTCGGGTCGCGACTCAGTACTGGGTCATGGCATTTAAGGCACTGGGTCGCCTTGCTCAGCACCAAGGGACCCTAGCGGCTCTGGTCAGCACCGCCAACCGGGATGTTAAAGGTCCTGTTGGCGGTGCTGCCCAGCTAAGGCAGGCTAGTGCCCATCTGCTCCAACACCACGCTGCGCCCCGGAAGCGACCAGCAGCGGGTCCAGCTTCTAGGCAGGGGGGCCACAGGGCTCTGCGCACTTCCCCCGCCCCGAGCACCGGCTCCGCGCTCCCATTGGCTGGGAACTGGCCAATGGGAACTGGGGAGGCCGGTGCCTGTGGGCGAGAGCCGTGTGGAGCTGCTTGTGAGCCTCTGCCTAGGAGCCGGACCTGCTTCTAGCTGCTTTTGGGGCGCAGCGCGGTCCGCAGTGCCAGGACAGGCGGGAAGCCTGCCTCTGCACCCCGGCTGCACCTCTGACTGGGAGCCGCTGGAGGTAAGTCCGAACCCCTTTCTGCACCCCAAACCCTTCATCCCTGACCCCACCCCAGAGCATGCACCCCCAGCCCAGATCCCTGCCCCTCTCCTGCACCCCAACCCCCTGCCCCAGCCCTGAGCCCCCCAAACCCA